AAAATGAGCCACCAATGTCAGTCTTTGATTTCTAACCCCCCTCCCCATACATCTCCGGTCAGGCTACGTGGTGAAAGAACGCGTCGTGCATATCACTGGGCCGGGCGGAACGGCATCGTCGGCGTGCGCCGGTCGGTGCACGCGCGGCCGCGCTGAGGTTTGTCCGCCTGACGGCGTTATTAAAACGCAGAAGTACAATAAGCCTCACATGCAAGCTTTCTTCCTAATTGCAGTACAGTTCATGCAACCCGATGCGTGCCTTGATTATTGCATCCCGGCTTTTCGGCGTTGAAACAAAACGGTTCTGCACATCACATCTATGCCATGTAGATATATTACAGAGGGTTTCAGAGGGTCGCAGATGGTACAAAGTCGCTATGATTAAGCATAGAGGGGAGCTTTATTTTCGCAATCAATACTGCACTGTCCTGTCCCGGGGCCCGGGTGATGTTGATCTGTGTCTATGTACCCTCGTCAGCACGTCTTCAGCTTCCCTGATCGATTCGCGGCCCGTTTCCGGAGAGACATTAGGCGCACTATAAATAGCGCGGTAGTAAACCGAAGCAGGTGTGTGCGAAAGACAAACAGAAAAAAAATGTGGCTTTACCTGCATCTTCCACGAAATCCTCTCCCTCCTCGAAGTCCATCCCGCCGCCGTGTGTGATGAGAGACGTTTGTTTGTCGAGAAGAGTGATTTATCTAGGTCGCACCGCCAAGCAAGGAGGGGAAACGCAAGATCTGGGAGCCTCGATCGTAGCAGGAGCAGACCGAGCGTTATTTCGCGATTGCCGGCCGGAAGCCCCCGTTGGCGGGTTGCCGTGTCCACGCCTACCGCCGAGCCCGGTGCGTGTGTTGTGCTCGGCCCGAGAAGGGCGAGGAGGGAAGGGCGTGCTGCGTCGAGACCGCGGCCTTCCCGGCTAAAAATAACCCGGCTGTGCTCTGACCTCCGGAAAATACGCCCGTGTCGAGTGAAATATTTAACAAGGGAAGAAGGAGGGAGCCGCCAGTCTAGGCATAATCAGATGCAGGTACCAGTGTATACAAATAGTGCCCCACATTGGGGCAAACCATTCGATGCCAGAAGGGGGTTGTATTGACACCGGAAAGATTAAAGCTACACCACATGCAGAATGTGTAATAATACGTCGGTGACACGGTTTAGGATTCATTTTTTGAATTGTTACAAGAAAGGATAATTCTAGAAGTTGTCCCATCTCTAATAACGCGACATTGACAGTTGGAGTAAGTTGATGACGGACATATACATCAGTCACTATAGACACTTGATGATATGTTGTTCATGGAACACCTTATTTCTGACAAGAGGGGCACTTATGACGCCTCTCGCTCTTCCAATCTTCGCGAGTAAAACCTAGGCAGGGGGTCAGGATCACGGCTATACAATAGGATTCCATAGTTCAAATAATGAGGGATGTGCCCCCCCCCCACACACACACCTCATCTCACCATTTACAACCACCTGTTGCAACACAATTACGTCATATTTGGGTCAGTGCTGATTGGCTTAGAAAGACAAACAGATAGAGTGGTTCACAGGAATTAAAACATACATTCGTGATGATTCGAAATAGCTTCATCAGAAATCATAAACATTGATAATAACTACATCTCCCATTTGCCTTGAACGGCCATTTCAAAGTTTTACGTACGTCAGATCTGGCGGTAGTTCCTTTATGTTGATTGTCTTTTGATAAAAATTACTCAGGGGGCTAACTCGAAAGCACCGTGTAATTGGCAAACTAGAATTAATAATTCATTCGTCAGAATTTTCAACCATGATAAGATCTACCATGTTCCTTATTGTGATGCCTGTTGCACATTTGTTTGATCAAAAACCAGGCGGAACATAACGTTGACTTGCCGGGCAATTTATCAGCGGCGGTTTATGTGTACACAAAGTAGCCTACTGTGCAGGCCTCCGATCTGGTGGGCGTTTTAATACTTGGTTTTATAGAATTGTTAACACGTTCTTTTGCCGGTCATCTTACAACCAACCGGCCATCCGGGACGAGTCGGGTTTTTTTTTTTTATATTCCGAAACAAGTAATCACAAGACGTGGTGACAGCACACTCAAGTTTTTTCAACTTATGTTAATGCCGCCACCAACACAGGGACAGTACAATACTCATTTACACCTGAGCGAAGTGAGGAAAGTCGTGTAAAGTGCCTTTCCCAAGGGCACAAGATCGGTGGCATGTCAGGACTCGAACTCGGGGCCACTGGTTCCGATTCGAGAACGCTGCCGCTACGCCACACGACCCCACGTCGGGTTTGCCCTACAATGGCTGGTTGATTGTGGAATGAACGGCAAAAGGACGCATTAACAAATTCCTCAAATCCCAGTATCAAAACGCCCACCCACCCGGATGCCTGCACAGGAGGCTATGTACCCAAACGCCCGGTGGCGGTTACGGCACTAGCGATAGGGGGTAGGTCTCAGCGGAACGCCAAGGCCAGTCGTGACTTTTTCGGCTGCTTCTGGCGGACAACAGCATCAGAGAGTGACAGGGAGAGCAAAACATGTGCCAACACAAGCAAGCTGTGTGTCACGCGAAGAGGCTATGTCAATCGTAAGCTACTTATAGTTGGCCAGAGAGGGGGCAGGCGAGGGAGGGTAGTAGTAGTAGAGGTAGTAGCGGCCCGGCCAAATACAACATACGCAGACTAGGAAAATACATCCTCACGATTTTCTCTGTCCAAATCTGTAAAATCTGCTCGGAGATTGAACCCCATCAGTCGAAAGGCGATTTACCCCGCTGCTGATAGGTCGGATTTGGGTAGAAAGTCTACTTTCTCGCGTGGCGACGAGCAAGAATAAGTACTTCCTTCCGGCTAGGCGCCGAGTCCATGTTTTTAAGACATCATAAAACGTCTATTTCAGCTTCCTGTTTCCGCACGACCTGGCGGTTACTGACATTAGTACATGACTTTCATATCAATAGATCATCAGAACTGCAGGCGCCAACCCGCCATGCCCTGATTCCAACGTTAAATAACGTTCATAGATATTCCCAAAGGTACCTCTGGATTTGCGCCAAATTGTTACCAATTTAATGTAAAAACTACTTGACTGTTACGTTGGAAAAAACGTAGAGTATTCCGTACCAGCTAACGTATATAGGAAAACGTGTCTCTTTATGGTAAAGAAGTCGTTGAACCCGGACATTGCGCTTTTTTTCAGTGCTGACAGAGAGGGTTCTACATTTAGCGCAGTGCGGTGAGTTATAAAGTAGTGGAGGTCATCGTTCATACCATTGATTCACCCATATGGACGATGACCCCTACCTGGTCACTGACCTGGACACCAAGATGTTTCAGAATTCTAGATTTACAAATGCTCTGTTAATAGCAACATGCTTACTAATGTGTATGTAAATTTGTAGTCATATGTGTATATTTGTACTGTGTGTGAAATGTGTAATGAGCCCTGGAAGATTAGCCCTAACGGGCTAAAGGGTATCGTAACAAACTGAAACTGAATGACTTACAAATGCTCTATTAATAGCACCACTCTTTACTAATGACTTAACAAATAAACTCCGAACAGGAGATTGCTCTCCGAAAGGGTGCTCTAAGATTTCCTTTCAATGAAATTGGTTTAAAATTAAAAAAAAAAAACTTGGCTTCGCGATGGCGACGCCCTAGTTCCTCCACTAATTTTCTCTCGCGCTTAGACAGGATCATCTAAGGACAACCACTGCTTGGTCTGCAAAAACAAATGGAAGGCCAAATCAGTTCAAAGAAATTCCCCATAGTAAACGCCTTGCCCTGAAAAGCGCCGTTCTCGCCCAATTTGGTAGGAGAAGGAAGACACTTAAACAGACTGTTGAAAATGGAAAGGCCAAGGCACCACTCTTAGCGCCTTATAGACGTGATGTGCTGTCTCCACTTACTTCCCCAAGCCTCCAGACGTAAAATGGGTCGCGCGTTATGAAACCATTTCTGTGGATCCGTCTAGCGGATTCACGCAGCAATCCTGGCGTAAAGTGAACCCGGGGGAGACACGGGCGACCTCGCTGGCCCGATACTCAACACCACGAAGGTCATATAGCAAGCCCCTTGAGTATATACTGCCCTGCTGGAAAGCCGGAGGCCTCTGGCTATGGGATGCCACCCGTAGCCGTCCTGACACGGGCGCCTACCTTTGGGGGCACTCGGTACAATAATCGATTGTGGTGCAGACGACAAAAAGTACACCCCTGTCACGCTATCAACTGCTTTGCTTTCCGCGTAATACCGGTGAACGTTCGTGTTGTCGTGACTCGTAATTTTAATACCAAACGGCTACGATGGTAGATATCTGAACCCCATCAGAATATCATGAATCAACTATCCAGGAGAGCCTGGTTTCTCGTCAGGAATTAATGATCCTCGTCAGGCGTCGTGGGTTGGGTCGATCGGGTTTATATCGGGAAACACATCAGTATTCCAGTCACGGCGCCGCAGCGGTAACCTCAGGTTGCGAATGGCGGACTGATACCAATTCTTCAAGGGAAGCTGTTACTTGTAACCATTAGATGGCTGGTCGGCTGGCTTGCTGGTTGGTTGAGTAGATCTTAAAAAAAAGTACATTTGCCAGATAACTACAACTTTAGCGACATCCTACATACCTACCTGTCTACATACATACATACATACATACATACAAGCATATTTTACATACAGGTACATTTGCTAGACTTAAGTCCCAGACACTTTTAATTAAAATTGCTACATAGCCAGATATTTCCGATAACTACTAATTTAACGACTTCTACATACATACATACATACATACAGACAGACAGACAGACAGACAGACATGCATACATGCATACATGCATACAGACATACATACATACATGCACACGTACATGTACATTGTCAGCGGTACATCGCAGACACTTTATTGCTCTATCCAGACATTACCACCATGTACATACCCGTGGATTACTACTCAGTCACGTTCTGCATACAAGGATTTACAAATTCAGAGGTTAAAAAATATCCGGACCAGCAAGCGCCTCTGCCGTGCATGACGAGCCATTAATCTTCAGCAAAAAGGCGCCATTTGGTATCACTGGATGATTCCCATCTTTTTATCGACTCACGACGAAAATCAAGCAAGCGAATGATTTCAACCAGATGGGCTGAAATTATATGATAACGTTAGGTATCAGTGGCCAACCGTTGATATACACTATACATTGAAAGTAGTGATATTTACAGAGAACAATTATCACTGAATGGATGAATGAATTTTATTGCTCGACAATCGTACATAGTACAATGTGTGGCAGTAAGACAGTACTACAAAATTAAAGTATCTTACAATTATTACGACAAACTACTATCGATAACAATATGAGTTACAATATATGGTCATGTGCTAGATAAAACCCCTCTTCGGCCAGCACAATATGCGCTACCCAGTCCGATACAATATTGAAGGTAATCCCCCTCTCGTGGTAAAGCAACTCTTCAACTCTTCAAAAATTGGGGATTTCAGACTTTTGCAATCCTCAGATTTATAGCTTTCTGAATTCCCCCAAAGCTCCTGGCTCGCGGCCATATTCTTTGACTTCCTATTATCTTTGTCTGTCGAGTCGTCCCCTGCCCACACAAACTCACAACTCAGACACCAAAACAACACTTCCGTACCTGGAAGTGTCTAATGAAGAAAACGCTGTACAGGCGCAAATCAAATTTGAGTTTTGAACCTTCACGCAACTGAAACACGTTCCGAAGGATGCATTCGGCTCACGGCATCCGCAGCATCTTTCAGACCACAAGATCGCAGGCAAGCGAGCAGCTTGTCAAAGGTGGCGTTACATCCCTCCTTCCGCCTCCATGCCAGCAGCACCTGGATAGTTTGCTCCCTGGCGTCTCTCTGGTGGTCCCACTCTATCGCCTGCATGTCGACATCGTTCAGGCCGAGATGCCTGGCTAAGGGACTCAGTTCCTTCCTGGGGATGAGTCCAGCGACTTTGGTGGTCAGCTCCCGTTCTGGTAACGGCTGGCATGTGGAAGTCTTGGTCCTTTGCTGTTCAAGAAAAAGGGCAGAAAAACGTGTAGATTTAGACATCGCATGAAATCCGACCTTTAAGCACACCTGTGACAGCATGTGTAAAGGCGGTTTCTTCAGTGGGGTGGAAAATGGAACTGAACTACGCATGCTTAAAAATCGCATTTGTTGCAGTGAGATGTAGCACACATGTTATACCAATGATTTGGAATTATTGACTTGTAAAAGAATAACCACAAGAGCGTTTTTAGTTGCAATGCCAACACTTACCTTTATGAGTTCAAAGTCTCGTACGCTCATAATCAGGGGTTTGATGTCGTCCACCTCGGCCTTTTTCCGTCGCGACGTCTTCTGGACGTCCTGTTTGACCCGGAAGGACGCCACGATGTGGGACTGTCTGTCGGAAGGGTCTGTCGGTTTGCAGATGAACTGGGCGAACGGTGCTCTGCGCGCCGGGCTGCACTTCACACACTTGATGCAGCTCTGGACTTGTATGGACTAGAAAATCAAATATGAATGGTGAAATTGTCGTCCCATTTAGCACATCTCATCTTGCAGGTAGCGATTTGACTAAAAGTATATGTACCTAACCAAACAGGGCAAGCAAACAAACAACAACAAAGCAACCAATGACCCAACCAACCAACCAACCGACCGACCGACCGACCGACCGACCGACCGACCAACCAACCAACCAACCAACCAACCAACCAACCAACCAACCAGAGCATGTCATTGATACAGCAAACAAAAGATGTCTGAGAAACGTTTTCGGTAAACTACCTGTTGACTAGTCTGTGTTCCATGGAGGCTGTCAACAGTCCATGGCCACGATGAGTCGCTGACGTCATCCAGCAACGTCACGATGATGTCACTCTTGCCGTCAGCCAGGCTCAGCTGGCGGGGTATGCACACCTCCCGCCCGCCGCTCCGGGACTCGTCGCTCTGGAGACTCTACAGGATGACACGGGGATGATAGAAAGGTTATTACTTCCGGGTAGGGAAGTATTGTTTTAGGTGCCTGAGATATGGATTTGTAAATGTGTGTCGTTTTGTCCGGAGAGAGTAGGTTGACAGCACGAGGGCGAAGAAGATTGACAGGAAAAATGACAGCTAGGTGGTCAAAAGGTCTGATACAGGAAATGGGGTGAACTTGAAGGCTTGAACCTCCCAGATACCCCCGACTTCTTGTTTGGAATGGCTATTAGTCAAACGTCAGTACCACCCATTCATTACAAAGGTTATCACAGCATATCATCATCAGCCAAGAATCAAAGCGGAGCATACCTGATGGTGGTCTGCTATGGTGTCGCATAGGTAGACCCTGAAGATCACCTCCTGTTCCTCACCGCGCTCAACGTACTGTCCGAACACCACACACTGCAGGTCCAGCGGCTTACGCTTCTTACAACACTCGGTGACCACGTAAGTAGTGAAGTGCGTCGTCTTGACGTACACGTAGCTGGCGTCGTACGTGTAGCAGCAGTCCACCACGGCCGAGTTGTTGTCCTTACTCTCAGCGGGGATGTCCCTCCACTGCATCCGAGAGCCGACCGGTGATTCGCTGCAGCGCACTCGCGGCGACCAATCGGCTTGGTCGATGCTCGCGCGGTGCGGGATTCGGATGGTGACGGGTCTATCGAACTTGGCTATCCCCTTGGCTACGATCTCGACTGCCGGGGACAGCTGGAGCTCGTGTTCGGTACAGCGTTTCGTCCCCAGTTCTGCATCCGCCAGGTTCAAGTTGACCTCCGGTCTCACCACTCGGGCTTCAACTTCCAGCTTCCCGTTCATGTTTTTCGGAACTGCCCCGCGGGGGACGATGACCTCAACATCGGACAGTTTCGGAAAGGCCAATTTTCCGCCATCGTGGCCGAAATGACGGGAAAACTGGTGGATATAGAGGCCTGATGATGCCATTTTCTGGAACCTCACGGGCGTCGGTTCTTCTGAGAGCGCGGGCCAGAGATTTAGAGAATTTGGCTGAGAACCGTCCTTCGACAACACGTCATTGTGGAGTAGGTTACTTTCGTCAACGCTGGCCATGAGAGGAGCAGTACAATCTAAAGAAACATCAAGGGACAACTCAGAAGTGTTTTGACGGAGAGAAGTAGAGCTTACTATCTGATCTGGTACCGGAAGGTTCTTGTCAGTGGCAGCCATGAGAGGAGAAGTGCAGTCGACCGAAATTTCCAGGGACGACTCAGAGGTTCTTCGCGGCTTGGCAGTCAGGTTGACTATCTGGTCTGGAACCGCTAGTTGTCGCATGCCGGCCGAACCACAGTTCATCTCCATCTCCTCTTCCAAACTCTGTCAGGAAATATCAGTTAGAAAATCATTCAAAGCCGGCTTCAATTTTATGATCTATGTTATATAATCTATCTGAATAAAAGGCAGAATATGTTGGATTATCTTTTTAACCAAAGTCTGGTGTTGATTTGTTAGAAGTATATAACTGCAAAGTAAGAAATAGGTAGGGAGGGAACCTATGTTCTAATGAACAAGTGATGGGAAATATCTGGGTCCGAAGTAGTGCGAACATTTCAGAAACCAACCTCTACATTGCTGTTTTCACTCGTTTTCATCTCATTAGTTTTCGACTGTAATGAGATGATATCCCCGGTGCATGAGTGACGGTGATTTTACCTGATGATGTTTGTTTGTCCTTCCAGCTCGGTATCTCATGGCGAGCCCCACAATAACCAGAAACACGAACACACCGAGGGTGGGGATGACGACAGTCGGGATGTTGAGGTTTCCATCCTCCCCTGCATTATCTGTGTTGCCTTTATTGGACAAAGAATAAGACTGTAAATACAACTGGAAGAAGTGTAGACATGGGAAAGACGTACGTCGTTACTATTGCGATCACACAATTGACTTCAATACTGTATATATCAATGAACAACCAGACAATCGGAAGGTAACAATTAAACGGGGATCGATCAAAGAAAAAGCAATAAAAGGAATGAATTAATTCCCTGTCTTGCTTCGTAAAACACGAGCCAAAGGGCGCACAAAAATGTACCCCTTCAGACAAAGCAAGCCTTTGCAATTTGTTACGTGACGCAAGTTTCTACAAGGTGAGAAAAGAGGTCAATCTCACCATTTCCCGGCACGGCAGCGCGCCCGGGCTTGGTGAATATGGCAATACCAACAGTTGGCATTGGTATCATTCCCGATGCGGGCGCAAAGGATGACGGGAAGAGAAGAACATCATCAGGCTTCTGTCCCCCCACCTTGATGGTTGCAGTGTTGACATCGCCGTGAGCCTGTGGTGATGACCAAATGTACACGTGTTTTTATTCTTAACGTCTACAGCCAGAAGAATGGTTGTGTTGGCGACCTTAGAAATATGGAGCGAAAGAAAAAACTATACCGCAGATAAAAAAAGAATGACCTGCTTGCTTTCTTAAATATGCACTGTTGACCATGTTTGCCATTTTAAGATGGTAGGTTGATCTCTCCAGTTACTGCATGTAACAGTATGTAATGCGGTTTGAATCAATTCTTCGCTTTACACTAGTACCATAATTAGTCCTCTCGTCTTGTACAACTTTCCTGACTATTTTTTTTTGCGCCATTGGATTAATTCATAGTTAAGTGGACCCTGTGATTATAATGTAATAGTCCAACAGATTGATCATAATCTATACATTGTACGTTTTGGTTCAATCATTAACACGGCGTCCGGTACGTCATTACACCTGCGCGACTTCTCAGGAATGGGGTCACGTAAAAGAGAACGCCTTCTTAGAATAACGGAAACGATTGCAGAGAGGAGTTTATAAGATAAGGAAAATATATCAAGAACTCCTGGCCTGAAAAATAATGTTCACCACTTCTCATGTACAACCTTAGGCCTAGTCTGATATTTCTTGGTCGGTCCCTAGTCACATACTAGTATTTGAAGAAGTCTGACTCATGCTACGTATATAGTTAATATGTGTATGTGTATGGGGTCAACGAAAGGGCAATACTTACACTTTCTGCAGGTGAAATAAAGACACCAAGTCCAAGAAATATATATATCCACCAGTACATCCTGGTCTGAAAGAGGGAATAATACTATTAATAGAACCTTTTTCTAACGATGTACGCACTTCGAGATCTATCGTATAAGACGCATTGATAGAAAAACAGGTCTTTTGTCATACCAAAGTCCATTTAATTGTACACGAATAATAACGTAACGACCGGGCAGGTAACGGAAAACACGGGAAAATATAGCAACGTTCTGAAACGTAAATTAAGTCTGCGCATATACATTGCATACAGGACATCAGCATTTAAGTGGGGTGTTAAAAGTTCCATGCCATTTTCTCATGATAATTCATTCCTGGCGAAACACGTCAAAGTATCCAGCAACCGTAACACTATACAAGAATACATGACAGTCAAGTTAGAAATAGCAAAATAGGTCTACTCACCTTTTCAGACCTTTTCATCCTGTCCTTGAAGGAAAAGTTTTGTCGCACAAGTTTCCACCAAGACGAGACGAGACGTGGTTCGATCAGGTGTGAAAGTTTCTGCGCAAGTCGTGGGCGGGGGTTCCCATGACGTACTTGTCACACCTTTGGTATTCGCTCACGCAGCAGATTTATTTGTCTCCAAACAATTTGACTTCTTGCTTACCAGTGAAAGTGTCACGAGACCTATTCAACAACGGTTCCAGCTAGAAATATGTCTTACGTAGACTCTCCAGGAGACTATACAATAAAACGTCAATGTTGGTTTTTCTTGTTCTGCGGTGGTCACAACGCAAATATTGCATCACACCACGTCGTATGTTAAATAAGGAAGCAGATAGGAGTAGTAAAAGGGTAGGTCGATCACATATTACTAGTAGTTTAAAGGTGCGTACAGGTCAAGTACATCTGCAGTTGCTTTCAAATGGGCTTCAGGTTGTAGCAAGCATTTGGCAGTATTTCTCTTGTTGAATAATCCCCCCCCCCGTTATTCTATAGATATGGATCAAATTCTGTGTATCCAGAGGACAGAGGTTTGAACCCTTCTCGAGCATGTTTGTGAGAGTTTGCATTCGTTCTTTTTGGCTCTGAGGACGTAGAGGCATTGGCCAGCTGTGTATGAGGGAACTTCAGGCATAAACCCTGTGCTACTTTAACTTCACAAATAAACTTTTGTAATCATTATGCATATTTTATTGTTGTATTGATTATACACAATACTCTAAAATTTTATTCAAACGTGAAAATGTCAGAATTCAGGTGAATCAGTCCTCCCATGACAAGCTATCAAATACACACAAACCGACAAAACTTGTCAATGCTACTACATGTAGTATATACCAATGGAATGATAAACATTGTATATGTTAAGTGCTATTTCTATGACAATAGTTTCTGTATTAAAGTAAACTGTTTTCTTACACCAACACTGACATACAAGTTGCTCATGTCTAGAGACTCAAACAATTAATTGATATACCCATAAAGAAATCTCAACATTTTGAAGAAAAAAACCCATCCCATCTACATGTTACTTGGGGTGAAGTGACCATGCCATTAACAAAGAATGCCTTAAGAATATTTCATCTTTCCTATGTCGTAATGTTGATGACGCCGGCCACAGCTAGGTGAGGATGAGGTTGGGGAGACCGTAGACCACCATGCTGAACCACTGTCGGCTGGTGGTGGGGAGCTCCTCCTGACCTGCAAACAACACGAGGACATCTGGTGAGTCTTCACAGTACTGCAGCATGATCTCTACCTTATATATTCCTAGTCTACATGGACATTTCAAACAGTGTCCTAAAGTACAGTAGTAGCAATACTATTCTGATCAATCATATCTCTGTTACTTTATTAATTGCTTTGTATCATAAAGCATTAGAATGCTTATATATTTCCCTTTGCCATTGACACCTTGCATGATTCATGGATTGGGTACTAGAGTGACTTACATGAGCAGTTTGCAAAAAAAAAAGGTTACATGAGATGGCAGTGTTATAATCAGTCAACTGTGTTTTTGGGGATAATATGATAATATGATAAGGTGTAATCCTGTGTGAGATGTGTTACCTGTATCAGCTGTACCGGGTGGCAGAGTTTCCCTGGTGGGAGGGACATCCGAGGCAGTCCCCGGTTCTCCTGCTGACTTACCCACAGCTGCATCTAATGCCTGTCAACACCAACATCAATATGCAGTGTTGTGATACTTCAAAAATATAATCCTTCTGTATATGTAGCGTATCCTAGCATCAAAGTCCAACATATTTGCTGCCTCTGGAACTTTTATATTGAGGCAGATTCACAAAGTGCATGATAATTGTACAATATCTTCCACTTTCTCATACCACATCATTACGTAGACAACATGTAATATTTCCTCTTGCAAGCAGATCCAGGAAAGCTAGAAATTTGATGGATCCGATGAACAACTTTAATCTGAGACAAAGAAGCAACAGTTCAGTCATGTATTATCTTTTTGCATGCATCACAGCTAGCTACATTTGTATCTGTACCTAAGCTTATCTCTGTCTAATGCCCTCACCTTGTTTTCGTCTGCCCCCTCCCCCTCTCCCTCCCTCTCCTCCTTGATGAGATGTGGGATGAACAGACTTCTCACAGCCTGTCCACTGGACTTTCCTATTCCCAACAGGTCTGGAAAATGGTATCAAAATATGTCAGTAGGAAGTTAGGAATATTTGAAAGATCTTCTGATACGAATTCAATGAAAGGTTTAATAGATGAAAAATGATGCTAACAAAGTCCTAAAAAGAACAGAAATATTTGTCTTGATATTTGACACTTGTTTGAGAGATGTCTCTGACTTCTGACATGAAAACCAAGGTCCAACACAAACACTGAAAACATCCTGTCCTGTTGTTGTTTACCTTTCATGACCTTGTTGAGTTTGTGTGCGTTCTCCTCCAGCGTGCAGTGCCACTGGTTGGTGAGGACACAGCCCACCCCCGACAGACTCAGCAGCATGGCCGTCTCCAGGTGCTTCTCCAGGGACAGTAGAGTGGCACTGGGGAGGGGCAGGGAAATGTCAGCTTCATCTTAATTTTCAATATTCAAAGTTTGTGATGTCAAGTGGCTAGGCGAGCATACACAAGATTGTACATATGTGAGGCCATGGGTTTGATTCCTTGCATTCTTAGCTAGACGATGTGTCCTTGGGAAAGGCACATGATTTTCCTCAATCCGCCTAGGTGTAAAATGGGTATGTGACTTTGGTTGGGGAGGTGGAAGGAGAAAGAGACACAGTGCCTTAGACAAACTGGATAAAACCCAAGGCCCCTGTGGCCTCATCAAAAATGCTATGAGACTACATTTACCTTTATTTCAAGTTCTTCCCTAAAGCTCATCTACTATATCCAAGGACATTTTCATGGATGATACTAGGTAATGCTGCCATAGTTGAGTATTATAATGCCAAATTCACCTTAGGACAATGATGCGAGAAAACAATGGACGTAAAGTCTGTTTTGACCCAGGTAGAAAAGTTTAAACACTTACTTCTTGTGTACATCAGCTTTAGACTGTCTTCGGAAGCTCTTGTTGGTCTGAGTGTGGTCCAGCAGCATCATAAGCATGCAGCCTGCAGGCAAAATAAAAAAAAATCAGTTCATTGGAGTATATTGGAGTATCATCATCAAAGACATCTGCTTTGTAACCATCAACAATCAAATGGGAAAATGACATTAAAAAACAACCTTTTGAAAGGAAACGTGTCTTTTTTTTTTACCGACAGCAACAGCAACTGACAGTGTTCAACAGTGTGTACAACTCAAGAGTGTTCAACAGAACTGTATATACTGTTTGGCCACAGAAACTTAGTATGTAATTGGGATGATTACCTTGCAGGTTCATGGTAGCCAGTTTGATGGATGAAGGATAACAGGCCAGCCTCTCCATGCCGTAGAACACAAACCCTGATCCTTCTGTCATTAGGTTCTCCCACTCACCAAGGCTACAGAAGGGGGGGGTGGGGAAAGTCGTTCATGTTTAAGTATAGCAGCAAAGTTGGCAGGCTGAATAGAGGTCTACTTGTGATAAGATGGTGTGAGATGTCCTTATGATGGTCTCACATTTGTCTTAAGTCAGCATACAACTTTGATGCTGTAGAACTTTCAAGCTACATGTGCCTGTGATGGTACCAACTACTGGCAAGGATCTGAGACAGCATTTTCTAGAACTAGACAGCTGAATTCTGCAGGACACATGGACAACTGTATAACAAATATCCTCAGTTTGTGATCGAGTGACAATCATACAATGTATGTGACAAGGCCCTAACTTATATATGAAAATGTAAAATTTGGGCTAAAATGTCAAAACCTATTATTACTAATTGAGTAATCATCAGTAATCAAGAGTCATTTGTGTAGTCTCTGTCTGAGATTTTCTTTGTAAATTCCAAACCTGGGAATATGGTCATCTCCCATGATGCCCTCCCAGCGCCCAGTCAGCTGTGGGTAGGTCTTCGTCATGTCAGAGAAGATCTGGATGGGCCGATGCTCCTCTGGGAGTTAAAGACAGCCATGTCATTGATTATAATGGGAAAATACAGTTGCCTGCACCCTCTCAAAGTTGCAAATTCACAACAATTACAAAATATGACAAATTTAACATGATGTACAAAAGTGACAATGCCCACCTGTTTCAGAGCATTCTTCATAGGGATCCACAACATCTGTGCATCGTTAAGGAATCAAAATGAACGAACGACACATTCACAAAATTTACATTGCTCAAAGTATGAGTCAACGGGGAGAGTGCTGAACAAAGCACCCTTAAAGCAGACCATGCTTACCATTGTACTACACTGTACATGTGCACATGTGTACATATATGATATGCAAACTGAAAAGGATACATTTGACCATGGAGGTGTCCAGTGGCAGGCAGCCTGGCGGAATAAACCTGTCAATGGGAGCCTGGAAGTTGGAGAGGAAAGAGAGAAATCCATGAGGTGTTTATGAAAAAAATCCTACTTATGGCGAGTCCACATACTGAGAATGTTGTTATATCATTTCTGTTGCTATTTTCAACTTTTAGTAGCACACACAAACATGTACAAGGATTGTTGGAGGATATTTTGATACGCAATAAAAAAAACTAACAAAACAAAATAAAACCTACAGTCTTGGGAGGCTTCTTGTCCCCCTTCTGGCTCTTGGGTGGAGACTTGGGAGCCTTTCCTGGGTCCTTACGTGCATCCTCATCTGGAGAAAAGGGTACGTAACATCACAAGGCTGATGAGTCAGGGTGAATCACATATACAAAAAAGTGGTGATGGCACCATGTAAAACATGCAGGTCACAGTCGTGTCATTGGGCAAGAACCCATAATCTTTGCAGGTCAGGGTTTAAACAACAACATTACACTTTCAGATGCTTAGGAATGCATATGTCGAAAAATATGCAACTATGCACTACCATCCACCTTTGAATTTCATAAATACATGACTATCATCCTACCTTCTGCTTCCCTGTGAATCCTGTGGTACAACATCTGCAGGGAGAAGTCTCGGGACAGGGAGCTGATGCCAGTGTTCTGCAGTATGTTCAGGGCCTCCAGGGGGAGCTGCATCAGCCACTGGTCTGCCAGGAGCAGGATGTAGTCATCCTGGGTCTGACTGCTGGAGCCAGAGGCCACAGTGGCGGTGGTGGAGGGTCTGTAGGAAAATGTTCAAATGACGTTATCATGTACAAGACCGAAAGTTTCAGAACCCATCCTACCAGTAGCCTGGGTTCCATCCTGGTTAGTTTACGTCCGCTCCCACAGTCGCTACCACCAACCACCACCACAGTTGGTGGTAGCGACTGTGGGAGCGGACGTAAACTAACCAGGATGGAACCCAGGCTACCCTACCAGATGACCCTTTTAGTTTTAGCATTAACCCAAAGTTGACCCTTAAGTTAACACCAGCAGGTTTAGAACACCAAAAACATGATCTTCAAGTGTGAGCTTTGACTTTTGACATGCCCTTTCACCTTGTGTCCTTTCGTATGAATACTTAGTATCACCTCTTAAATTCTTAAATGCATGGAACTCACCAAGCAGCCATGTTGGACATATACAGTATGGGAAGAAAAAGGCATGAATAAGTTGCTGCTACTGTGATTAGGACTGTAATTAGATTTTGCCTTTGTGATGACAATGGATGTTATGTCAAATAAGTACCAAAAACTATTATTATAATACCTTTATCATATTTCAAAATAGTAGTCAAAGGTTGAATATTTTCTGACAGTTTACTCCTGCTGATACTGATAATAGAGAAATCATGGTCATGATATAAGTCTACGGTACATATAAGTACATCTTACCAACTTCTTGAAAATGAAGGTAATCTATATATTGATATGAATTGGCAATTCAAAATTGTGATGTTACTCACAACACAAAAAACATCAGTATCTGTCCATGGTGCTGAAACATCCGTGTCTACTCAAAAAAGTCATCAATTTGTGTATGCGGCAGATAGACTGTACCCACCTGAAGATAGCATCAAACTGTGAGATGATGGGTTTGAGGTAGTCCTCCATCTGTCCCACCAGCTCCAAGAACCGCTCCTGAAGCTTCCACTCCTCCAAACTGTCATCTCCAGAACCCTATTAAATTATGTTACAAAGATTGTGAACTAACCATTAGGTCTGCATAAGATACTGCATTTCATATAACAACCTTTAAAGTAAATCAAACCATATGTCTAATAAGATGTAAGTTTTATAAGACATGGTTGAGTGCTTTGACTATCCAGGCCACATGTGCATAATTTAATAGATCATACTTCTGTCAGTAGTTCTGGCCTGTTTCAGAAGGTTACATAACAGGTTAACATGAGCTGAAACAGCTCTCTGTTTACAAGTTTTCCCAATACTTTGTTACTTTTTTTACTTTTGCTAATTTTACACATAAGTCATGATATATTTTCTCCAACATGTCAGACATGATTGTCAATATTCTCTCCCACCTTTCCAACGACCCTCATGTCTGAGTCGATGTTCTGCAGCATCTTCATCCTCTGGACGTACTGCGTGCGCTGTCCCTCCTGCCGCAGCAGCAGCTGCATCACGTCACTGCGGAACTCTCGCCAGCGCAACAGCAGCTCATCCACCGTCTCCGGGTGCACTGCCTGGCGAGCAACCTTCGCTCGCGACAGCACTGGGAAGTATGGTGAATTGGGAAAAATTAGTGGTGGTTTCCATTTTTGCGGTGATCCCTGTCGTAAATTCATGGCAACGCAAATATGTCTTCATGTATGTGCACTCTGACTTACATTGTCGCTAACTACAGATCAATCTACATTTTCTTCTTGAAGTAAACATAGACTCAGGCTTTTCCATCACAGCCTATTCATTTTTCTAATACACAAGGGGGAATCAGGATCAGTAGAATTACAGTTATTTCTACGATCAGAACATTTGCTAAAGCAGAAGTACCTGAAACCTGTGATTGTTTTGCTCCTTTCTTGTCCCCAGCAGTTCCAGCCTTGCCCTGAGGAGGCTTGTCCAGCACTGACCCATACAGGAAGCGCCTACATGTGCAAACACAATTACAAAGCAGGAGTAATCAGCTACATGTATATGACTGAAAGTTTTTGCAACTGATGAAAACCTAGATTAACACACTGATTCAGAAAAGGAATAAATTCTGCTTTCTGCAATATAATAAATCTATTACTTAAAAGGAAATAGAGTAACATTGAATAAAAAAATCATATTTCGAATTTCTCATAATAAAGAGTCAGAAATGCATAAATTATTACTTGTCAGGAGAATGCTGCAGCACAAAGATGGTGAAATTTGGTGGCAGTTCCTTCAGCAGGTCCAGATGGGCCAGGTCTACACTCAGTCTCTTCCAGGCCTGGGGAGGGCATAGATAGAAGTTAGCAATCAGCAGCTAAGCTGTTTGTACATATATGTGGTGGCTGGATAAAGATATAACTACGTTTCAAAATGTCCACATTTAATTACATGTATGGTTCCATTCATGTAATCTTGAAGCCAAAAAAGCTACCTGCAAAAATATGTGCTATTTTGGGACCAGTCACAAATGTTGTACAATTGTTGTATGACTGCAAACTGTGGGCATTCTTGGGATAATCGTGTATACATGTATATCTTTCGAAATCCAACTGTCTTGTTACAGAAAAGGCTGTCTTTTTAGTCATTGGAGATGTTAAAGCCTGCTTTAAAATCCTGTGGCATAAAAACTGTAGGACAGCCTACGATGAACGTGACCGTGTGGTTACCTGTGACTTGGAGCCGAGCGTGCTGAGGATGTTCTTCATGACGGTGCCCTGTGCCAGGTTAGTGGAGACATCCCGGGACAGGAGGTACGCTCGCTGGTGCATGAGGGCAGCCTGCCGGGACATGCTGGGGTCCAGCTGGGCCTTCTGCAGCACGGCGGACATCGCCTGGGACATGTGGCAGCTCTGGGGACAGCAAAGGACAGGGAGGTTAGCTGTTATCCATGTACATAGGATGTGACAAGGTACTACACCAACTACACCAACTATAGGTCAAAAAGACACAGCAAACAGCTGTTTATAAAAAGAATTCATTACATGAACTGCATTTAGTACATGTACCATGAACAGTTCTGAGAGTAGGAGCCATTTTCAGTACCAAGGAGAGTACTCAAAATGAGAACAAAATGACAAAACTGATAACACTACATTTTGTACATTCAGTACTGTGGGCAGTACTTACTATGAAATTGACTCAATACCAATGAGATAATGCTAACATAGGCTGTACCTGGAAGAGTGCGAGGTACTGTGAGGCAGATGCAGGGTCATACTGTCCCAGGCATTCCAGTAGCTCCAGTGCTGCTGCCCCTGCTATGTCCTGTACCACAAAACAGAAAATAGCCTTGGAGTAAAATCATACCGCTATTCCACTGCACATACAGAAATCTCACTTCAGCAGATACTACAATCAACGTCATGATAGAGTCAAAATACATTCTGAATTCAGAGTTACTGAACTGGGGTTTAGAGTTTACAGAAAGTTCACTTCTGTGTTTCAGTCTTTTTAATTGTGATGGTAACACTGTATCCAACGATACTGGCTTTCCCGTGTTTATACTAACTCTTTAGTAAGACTTCTTTTTGGTTGACATACATCAGTACAGCAGTACTTACAGTGTATCTGTTCTGCAGGGAGAGTTTGAGACACTGGACCAGCACCTCGCTGGCCTGTGCCAGGACAGTCTGGTGCTGCTGCCAGCCTGCCTTCAGCTGCCGCGCCTGTTGGGTGTACTTAGCCTGTTGTCTGTCTGACATTGGCGGCTCTGTACCGGCCTCACCCTCACCCTGTAGGGGATAGTTGGAGGATTTATTTACTACCATGAACAGTTCCGAGAGCCATATTCAGTACCATGGACAGCACTAATGATAAGAACTACCTCCAGTACCATTAATCGTACTTAAAATAAAACTGCATTCAGTACCATGGACAGTACTTAGAATGAAAGTACATTCAGCAGAATGGACAGTACTCAAAAGGACAACACTGAGTGCCATGGATAGTACCTTGAGTGATACTAAATTCAGTACAACGGACAGTTCTGAGTGTGAGAGCCACATTCAGTACCATGGACAGTACTTAGACTAGAGTGAAACTACATTCAGTACAATGAACAGTAATTAGACTAGTGTCAAACTAAATTCAGTACCATGGACAGTACTTAGAGTGAATCTACATTCAGTGCCATGGACAGTGAAACATTATTTCCGTAACATCATAAAGTCTCTCCTGACCTGTTCCTCCTCAGGGATCCTGCCTGTGCTGTCAGGCAGGACGGCGTTCAGGTCCAGATACTGCAGCTCCCACTGCTGGGACGGGTGGTCAGGGTTCAGGTGGGCAGACAGAACACTCAGCACACGCCCGATCAGGTACAGGCTCTGTGGAGAAAATACAGACAGACCCTGCTGTGAAAGAGCTTGGCTGCTCAGTTCTACGCTCCAAGGTGTAAATACAGAAAGACTCTGCTGCAACAGTGCTTGTCTGTTTTTCTGTCAAACACAATGACAGTGAGTGATAAGCATCCTTACTTAAACATGTGTCTGATCAATATAAGCCTAGCCTTCTTCCCCCTGAAGATGTCTGTTTTTGACTAATACATGTAGCATAGTATCTGCTGAGAAACATATAGAACTATATAACTTAGTTATATATATACAAATATTTTCTATTACCAGTAAGTGAGAGTTCTTTACCTTTGCCCTGAGTGGTGTATATCCCCTGGCCAGACTGTGTGCAGCAGTGAGCTGTACTATGGCGGCCTGTGGGAGGGTGGCTGTCACTGCGCCCCACTCTTTCTCAACTCCATGGGGGTCTGGTGTGGACCGGATGTAGTCCTCTACCATCTGTAGAGTTAGAATAACAACATATTCATGATTTGATAATATCTTTATCAATATAAGCTTGTTGTGGAGTGATTTTTCTTCAGAGATCAACACTTTCATGCAACAGAAGTCACTGAAAATATTTGTACATCAAAGGCCACTGGTTTTCATTTGAAAGATGTTAGCTTTTTGCTTAAGCTTCATGCTTTTGAGTTTTTGTTCTTAAAAGATAGCTGAGGTACCACAGACATGTGCGAAATGGAACAAAATTACTGATTGATTCATGCCCACATCAAGAATTCTGCTGGTTCTGTGCTTCAAGTGCTGATAGGGACAGACTGCCAGGGCAGTCAAAGGTGTGTACCTGAACTAACATCTTCATCTGAAGTACATGTACACATACAGATACACAAACACAACACTGGGAGTTGTGCAGTTACAGGATGACTTAGTCCAAGTGATCAAAGGTGCTGTACATCCATTTACTCCTACTCATACCTTCTTCATATATACCATGTTCACCACCTGGTCAAAGGATGTCAGAGAACAATATTCAACCATTGTAAGTAAATGGACAATACTAGACAAGTGCCTTTCTCTACTAACAGCGTTACCATATCAGAATGATTTTTATCTTCCAATATCATGGACAACACCCTATTTGTCATTGATCCACAAGTATCATCATTTCATTATCTCTGTACTACAAAACTGCTATAATCTTAACCTTTTTTCTATCATAACTGTACTATCCTGTGAAAGGAAGGTTGCATTTTGTACATGAAGATTTTTGATTGACAATATTTTTCATAGTGAATATGGGAACTCCAAACTACAACCTACCCTCTGTAAGGACCCCTTCCTGGCCTCAATGATGGTCCTGTTCCTGTCCTCTCTGGCCACAGCTTCAAAAATCTCCCCCAGGAGCTCAGCATATTTCACCTTCAGCCCTGCAACCTCCCGCTGCAGGGGCAGGCTCATGTTCTGGGTCTGTGGGAGGAGAAAATCATACTTAGTTCTAACAGAGACAACAGAGAGAATCAGTTACTAAGAAATTTCATGATTGTGTATGTTCTGGAAATCTATGCAGTGTCCTCACCACACACATTTTAAAAACACTTGCCTGTGGACCTACCACTGACAGTAGATTGTTTCAAAAGTACTGAACTGAAATAGTTTGTTACCTTGAGTATGTAAGGGCATGAGAACCTGTAAGGGTGTGATAATCTGTACAGTAGATTTACCTCATATAAGGGTGTGAGAGTCTTTAGTTTTACCTCATGTAAGGGTGTGATAATCTGGGGTTTGTCTGGAATTTTACCTCATGTAAGGGTGAGAGTCTGTAGATTTACCTCATGTAAGGGAGTGAGAGTCTGCACATCCTGCAGCAGCTCTTCCATCACACTGACAGCGTGTCCCAGGATCCTGCGACCCTCCAGGAGACAGCTGTGCAGCTGCTCGGGGATGGTGGCAGCTCGGGCCAGCTCACGCAGGGCACCTGCAACCAAGTGAACAGACTGATACACAAGTACAAATTCTTTTCTTCTTAATAAGCTTTTAAAAGCAGTCCAATTTATGCAGCTTGTACATACCGTGCAAAACTGGCTTGCTGGTTTATCGGTTATGCAAACTAAACAAATATGATAAATATATTTTGAATATAATAAAACAGGCTGAAAGGTTTTCCTGCACGCACTCGTTTACATGTAGCAGTCTCACAAGGAAAATGTTGAATGCTCTATTCATAGAAAATTGCCATTATCATTCTTTGGACTATGTAATAACTGTACATGTCAGATTTTCAATTACAAAATCAATTTTTTCAGAAATGCAGGTACAATTCTTATAATTTTCTTTGTTTGAATCCTTAAGTTTGATGTTGACCAAACCTGCGTGCTGCTCCATGACCTCCGCAGCCCTGCGTGGATATCCTGCAGTCAGCAGTCGTTCTGCGCAGCCCTGGAACAGCCGCAGCACCTCCTTCATGTCAACAGGCTCGTCCTGCATGGCGTTGGTTTCCACGTCCAGGGCCTCCTCAAGCTTAACAGCAAGAAAATGCAGATATACCAGGTCATTGAAACCTCAATTTTTTCGTCATCTTTCAAACAAGAAATGAGAAAAACCATGCAGATTGATAAAACATAGATATGAAAATTCAAACAAGAGGGATCTAGAGTTAGGTTTCCTGACCTGTATGGCAGCCAACTTTGCCTCAAAACTGGCAACAAAGTAGCCAAAGAGGTCAGCCTTGGTGGACCGGTTCTCCAGCACTTCCTTGTACACTGTGATGGCATGCAGGAGGATGCTCTTTGCCTGGGTTAAGGATGAAGAAAAACATAAGAGTTAAGCTTATTGTCTACATGTCGCTGCTACTAAAAACATTGAATTATTTCTTCATTTTAGAAAATTCTGTTTAAACATTGGTATATACAACAGCTACAGAACTGTAAATTCAATAAAGTAGCACGGATAATATCTTTGAAAGTTTGAGTTTGTAGTTGAAAATTATACTATTAGTAAAACAATGGACAACAGATTCTGAACATAATGTTCTTGGTGTAATGGGTTTTCGGTGATCTCACAGTGAAAACCTCATGCTTAAAAACACAGCTATAATGGAAAAAAAATTACAGCATATTATGCAACATGCTGCATTGCTTTCTTCACCTTCTTGGCCTTAGTGTCTGAGTCCACCTCCCTCATGACGGCGTCTGCCATGTCCAGTACAGTCTGGAACCAGAACTCCTCGTCCCCGCCCAGGGCCTGAGCCTCCTGCAGCAGGGTGACCGCCTGCCCCAGGTTAGCCTCCAGGGTGGACAGTCTGGCCAGGTTCTGCAGAGTCCGCACCTCTGTACGCTGGTCACCGAACGTCTGCAGAAGGGGGGAAACAAGTTTTAGAGCATTATTATGTCAATTTGAAAGTTCTTTATTCATGACCACATGTTCACAAGAGCCACTGTTTTTCGATGACCATCTGTCATCTTCATCAGTGCTATAATGACTGGTCATGGTATGGAGAATGGTCTAAAGAAGTGGAAAACAAAATTGAAGGATTTTGGATTAATTATCATGCACGGTTCAAAAGCATTGTTAGAAACTTCAACACAGTATATATACTTACTATGATGGAACAATACATGTAGGATTTGAAAAATACGAACACCAACTTGAAGATGGAATATTGATTTAAATGATAAATGAATAAACTATTTGATAAAAAAAGGATGTATTATACTGATTTTATGAAATGGTAGGAAAATGTCTGTCACCTTTGCAGCTTTGTGTGCCTCTCCCAGCAGTGTCCTGGCCCCCTGGTAGTACCCCAGTCTCAGTAACACTTCTGCCTTGTCTGTCCACACCTTACGTAGGTTCACCCCACTCACTGTCCATGGTGGGGTGGTCTCCTGATATAGAACATCACAGAGGGAAAAATTAAGCATAAGTCTGGAAGCATTCTGAACAAATGTGGAAACATTAAGCTGGTTATTTTATCCAATTTCAGAAAATTCAGCATTATTCAAAATCAACATGAGATCTGTAATTTCAGACTTCAAGGAAGTACATGTATTGGAGCTCGCTCATGCAATCCTTGGCTTTGTGAATTCCCCCATGTTGCCTGCTGGTTCCCAGCCAGAGCCATTTCCTGTGTCTGACTTTTTTACCACCTGTTTATTCGGTAACTCTTCCTCCACTCTACATGTTGTCAACCTACTCTGTCTGGACAAGCAGACACGGTTCAACAATACTAAGCCAGAAATCAAGTACAGTATGTTGAAATCAATCAAAGACACCTACCTGGGAGTCCTCCTTGCTGGTGGTCGTCTTGGGCACAAACTTTCCCAGTGCCTCCTGGGACTGCTGCAGACGCAGCTCCTCGCGCCTGACCTGTAACACGTACATTGTCTTTCAATGCCGCTTATTCCCCTATAGCTCATATTTTCTATCCAATTTTAAAGTATTTTAATTTTATAACTGAATCATTGTGTATATATGATTATGCTGGCTGTAAAACATTTGCTTTTGATTTTCTGTAACATTGCTTCAGAATCATCAATTCAGCCTTTGGGCTGTGACAACTGTTATGATATAGTTCATGTCATAATAAACCATGAATTTACCTGCTCCTGGTGCTCGTGCCACTTGGCAATCTCCTCACGTGACACGGCCTGGTCCTCCTCTGCGATGGCCGGCCCCGCCTGCTGCTCGTGGAAGCCTGCTGCCGGTAACAGGTTGATCTCCAGACAGGTCTCCAGCAGTCTAGGAGATAAAGCAATAATTTGTCATTAGTGTTGTACAGTGTTAAAAATACTCATCTGTATTTTACAGACTCCGACATTTTCAATATTGCAGAGCAAAAATTAAGCAACCTGCAATTTTGCAGACTGAAAAATCAGGCTAGGGGTGTTCAATGGTGTTTAAGCTTTCGTGTTTACGACTGACTCTATAATATACAAGCAATCTAGCATGTATTTTTCAAATTGCATGTAAAATGATTTGGTGTACAAAAAAGCAAAGTTAAAGATCAAAGCCTACAGATTTCATATGAATTTTTTTTACATATTCTTAACTCGTTGTATTTCACTAGATCCATTCAACCTTCTCAACTATAATATCCTACTTGGGATATCCAAGAACCATCAATGAGAAGATGTCATTGTTGGTATGATATATCTGGACAGCTATGATCAACACTTCCAGTAAACAGCTCCACTCCTGTGCTGTTGCCAAAAAAACAACACTCAAGATTGGATATTGATATTCCTCATCCCCACCTGGTGTGCCACAGTGATGACATGGCCTTACTCCCCAGCACGTCGGCCCCAATCACCTCAGCCAGTGTGAGGATGGGCAGGGCCAGGTGGTTGTAGCCCAGGTCTCTCAGCTGGTCAGCTAGTGTCTGCATGTAGTGCAGGGTCAGCGTGGGCTTGGTGATGGTGGTCTTGTTCACACCTGCACCGGTGGTGTCGTTTCTGAAGGCCTCCCTCACCTGTGAAGAGGAAAACAAAAGGAGGAAGAAAAGAGATTACAGATTACCTTCAAAACATTATCTATAATCCCCTTCATATGAAGCTGTCAGACATGTCAAAATTGGAGTATTCCTTTCTTTATTTGTCATACTGTCGCTGAAAAATAAGATTGTTAAATGTAATATTACATACTAGTACTAGTATTTTTTTTCTCATGCTAATACATAGGTTTTGATAGCATCTGATGTACATAACACCATGGAGTAATGGCCTGAACATTTTTTTCTTTGTACAAGTTGCAGTGCGATCTTTTGAATCTTAGACATATTTGGCCTGCAATGCACAAAATAAAGGAAAGGACATCTTTTTTCAATTCAAACTTGTAAATGATTTTAGCAATATATATTGGTAGCTTTAGGTAAGAAAAGGGTCACAATAACTACAAAAGTTAAAGCCATGACATGATATCCGACCTCCTCTGGAATGTCATATGACGCCCAGTCCTCAAGCGTAGCCGGAATGGCCTCGATCGGTCCCTTCCTTTTGGGCTTGTCTGCTTTGGCAGGCGTCTCCTTCTTGTCTCCCTTGCCGCGTGACGCAGGGCGTTCTGCCTGTGCCGTGGCGGCTAACTTTGCCATCTCCTTGATCACATGGGGGACAGACTGCAAAGAGGCCTGAAAAAGAGCAAGACAAAGGACAAACTTGATACAGTATACATGACTTGTACACTCAGGTATCTGACTTGTATGTTTTATCCCAAAGAATTGAGACAAGCACTTTTGAAAGTCCATACTGTTTGGGCTTATGTCAAAAAGGTTTAAACGGTTGAAAACTAATAACAGAGTTCTCAAAATGAAACTACAACCAGCAAAAACATCTGTGTTGTGCTATGTGAACCAGTCAAAACTGCCCTGAGGAAGGTGACAGGTGTTGGCTGAATAAAACACCTAGCTGCAGCATAAAAAAGAGGTTGTTTAGTCAATGAAGGGACTAAGCAAACACAAACCTCCCATATCCTCATACAGTATCTGTAGGCCATCACGGCAAAGTCCTTGAAGTACGGTGACGTCTTCCCAGCAACCTTAGCCAGGATGACGTGTATGCGCAGGAGAGCCTCCAGCTGCCGTGTCTGCCACAGGTCGGTGAACTGCAGCGAGGGGTTGGCCACCTCCACGCCGATCTGAGACGGACGGCTGACGGGGATGTAGCGATCGGGGCCATCCTCTTCCTCCTCTTCTTTCTTCCTGGCAGGAGGTTTGGGTTGGGGTGGCGGTTTGGGTTTTGCCGTTGGAGGAGGCGACGGCTTTCCTTTGCCCTTTCCGCGACGCTTGGCAGAGCTTCTGCCGGCTGTGATTACAATACAACAGAAGTGTTATCATGGTGGAGCTATTACGTTACTGCTCTTTACTCTACAGATTGTGCTGTACAAACTACCATCTGGAACAGTTCCACTGAGTATGAGTAACAATGTGTTTACTATAGATACATGTAACTATCAGACTTTTGGTATGAAATGATTTGCATAACAGAAAGTACACCTAAATTATATTGATAAAAGTGCATTTATCATCAAGATACAATTTAATTTTCAAGATTTCAATGTACATGTATCCTGCTTTCTTGTAGTACTACAAGTTGTAAGCCTCAAGCCTGGGGTGCGAGTACCAGTTGTTAGTGCCCACTGCAGTTTAAACACCTCTGTACCTGTCAAGATTCTTCCAAAAGATTTCCATTGTCGACCTTGTATTTTTAAAGGCAAAGGGAGTACAAATTATGTTAATCTGTGCAATTTCAGCATGTCTAACAACATCTAATTTGAGCTGGAAGTAAGTTACTGTAGATTAAAGTGAGTAACACTGAGCCTATAGCCGGAGAACAAGGCATGCTCAGTAACATACTTTATAAAGGACAAGGTATAATAGAAATTCAAGAGGTTTACGTAGAAAAGCAACTCATGAATATCAATTTGAAAGTTACATTGTAGTACATGTGATGAATTCAAACATCATATTAAGTAGAATACTATCATTACCTGTCTCCTCTGGTTTGAACTGTGGTCCAAACTGCATGTTGAGCAGGATGTCGGCAGCCCAGTCCAGCATGTCCTGAGCATCTTGTTTGGAGAAACCGTTGGTGAAGAGCCACTCTGCAAACTCTATCAGGTAGTCTATCTTCTGCCACTCACTGGACGGTGTCTGGGAATGAAAATGTGTTGAAAAATGTGAGAGTTTTTCTTTAGTTTGTCTTTCACTTTCTTTGGATATTTGTTGACTACTTTTCAGATGAACGTCAAGGGAAAATACAAGCTTTGTTGCCCTATAGAAAGACAAATGGCTTCAATCTTTTAACTTTCTCCCTGCTGTCTAACCCCCTAATCAATAGATAATTGGTATCCAAATGGCTAATTCAGTGTGGTAAAGGTTGAAATACTACAATTATTACTGGTGAGATTGTATGATGCTGAAAACGTACCTGTAGTGCCACGATGGCTTGTTGATATGCTGCCAACTGTTCCATGGGCTCTTTGGAGTTCTTAGCCACTCTGTGCCACATGAGAGCCACATAGGCTTCACTCTCATCCTGTATACCACAAAAATCACAAATGTTATACTTCATAAAGGAAAATATTTGCTGGACATGTTGAAAGAAATGGAAGAAATTCAATGTAGAAATGTTATATTGCAAAAGATAGTTAAATCTTAAAAGTTTAATAATAAATACTTATTGCTGTGCCTTGAATGTATCAAACTCAAGTCAAATGCAATGAGGGGACTAACTTTAAACTTCTGTATGTCCATCTGCACGTTTTTGCCCAGCTTGGCTTTGGTCAGGACACGGTGTTGGAAGATGAGCCTGTTGAACAATGGTGAATAAAAAGGGTATGTCAATCTTTTTGATTGTACAAATATAATGCGATTGAAAGCAAACAAAAATGTAAAGATACAATTTTGTAGTACATATCCCAGAGGACTCTTATAGAAGTTACAAGAAATTAGGTAGTTGAAGTTTGAGTTTATCTATTTTGCCATGGTTGTGTAAATCTCAGGTAATGAAGGAAGCTTACAGTCGGTGTTTGGTTCTTGGCATAACTCGGACAGCTTCATCCATGACCTTTAACCCCTCCTCCCATTGGCCGCGGTCTGCGTATGACTGGAAAACGACGCCGTACATGGACGCCCTGAGGGTCAGGTCCTCCGAGGGGTCTCCGAAGGACGGTGTAGTGGACACGGGGGTCGGGGCTGGAGCAGTCTTACTTTCATCTGGTTCCTTCTCTTCCGCTTTCTCCTCCTTATCCTGGGAAAAAACAGCAAAATCACCAGGATTTTTGTCACAGCCTCAAAAAAAACATCAGTTGTAACTGAAAGGCATCATACAGTTTAAAAAGGTGAGCATTGCCTTTTTGAGGCTGTAGGGGCAGTGGGTTACTAGTTCACTGTGCTTAGGGTACAGTATCAGAAGGCAGAGCCCGTTACTCTCTTTGGCAGGCTTTTTACCTCCCCAACCAAAGTTAGGTACCCATTTTACACCTGGGCCGAGCGAGAAAAGTCGTGTAAACTGCCAAGGACACAATGCTCAGCCAGGAATTCCAGTGATCAAACCTGTGACCTCTTGATCTCATGTCTTCTAACGTAGCCTCTCAGCTATTCAACGCCATCTTCATGTACCCAGCTATAATAATGACAGTGTAAAATGTGTTGCTCCACCCACCGGTTTGGCCTTCTCCCTGTATGTGTCAGCCAGAGCCTTGAGGATGACCAGTAGAGGGTCTCTCAGCAGCTCCCGCTCCATGGGGGACGGGATGAGCTTCAGCGACGTGTTCCAGTAGTGACGGGCAGCGATGATAACCAGGCTGTAGTTACCAGCCTTGCCAGCATATCTACAGAAAGGACAAGTATGAAATAAAGACATTAAACAGATTAAACAAAGTATTCTCTATAAAATGTTGATTCTAGGCTTTTTCAGACTTGTCTATTACACATAAAAATCTAAAGCTGGTTACTAGACATTAATTTTGTATAAAAATGTATAAATCAATGGAGACAGCTAGCTTTTTAATTGGGTACATTTTACTGCACTTTTAGACCTATGTATGAAAGTATAACACTGTGACAGTCATATTAGTGCTTACAAAACTGTGACCTCTCCATGTAGCCTTGCAGAAATGACAACATTTGCATGGATTGATAAAAAAAGCTGACCTAGCTGCGTTGAGGAAGGCCTCCAATGCAGACCTGCGGATGGCATTGTTACCAGCCATGTTCTCCACCAGACTCATGCCCAGGATGTCACTGGAGTAACTCAGCATCTCTGCCTCCACCATAGTACCATGACTGCAGGAGCAACCAGAAACTTAAGGATAAGTAAAAACTTCAAAGAATGAGTGTCTTAAATTGCAGGCCTTGGTTAGTGAAAGCAACCTGCACAGCTTTGAGTGGAGGTTGCTTGTGAGGGGCATAAGCCACTCTCTACACCAGAAATCTGGTGTAAATTATGCGTTTTGTCCAGCTGTCTATTCAATTGTCCACTTTTCTTTGGATATCCTGACCAGGAAAAGCCTATTGAAAACCAGCCCTAACCTCTGCTTGGAGAGTGCGTGAATCTAGCTCCTGCTAAGGGATAAAGCATTATACAGCAATGATATATAAGAAGATACCTTATTCTTTTCTCAAGATAACTTTTTAATACAACTCCACTCACCTGCCCAGTTTCTTCTCCATCTTCCTCTTCCCATCAAACTCCAGTGCCTTCCCGGCACACTTCATGACCAGCTGGTGGTTGTGTGTGCTGTAGGCGTGCTCCGCCAGACGTGTCCACACCTGCAGCTCCACCAGACCTTCTGTCCACACACACTCGTCAACCATACTGGACAGCTGCAGACACAAGGATCAAAATAAAGAGTTACCATGTGCAAAATGTTTGAGGTATGAGGTCCTGTGTTGAAGGAGAGCAAAAGCTTAGTATGTTGCAACCACACTTACAAAAAAAGTGATCCAATCAAACTTATCAAAAAGTGAGCCGGCCAACCACACTTATCAAAAAGAGTAGGGGTCAAATCCTGGTGTGAGTGGATCACACTTTGCCGTCTATTCTTGGTCTTACACAGCTGGTTCCTACTGTACAAAGCTGGTGTGTTACACCAAAAGCGTTTTATGGGTTACGTGAAACAGAAAAAATTCTCACCTCGTCCAGTTTGATGACGTTGAACTCCATCTGACCGTTGCCGTTGAGTGAGGTCATCTCCAGGGCGACCAGGCATCGGGTCATAGGTCGCTGACCATCATTACCCTACAGTACACACACAGCTTCAATCAGCCTGGCTAGTGTATAAAGTAACTTTTCTTTCTGCCATCTACAACACATCGTCTGAGAAATTAGATTGATTTCTTGATATTTTTCCACACTTTCTTCGAATTATATCCAATCCATGATATGTATATCAGTTGGTTCAGTCTTTTTTCAATGAGTAAGCCATGATGATGTTTACTAATAACATCATCAAAATGTTAGTTATGACAATAAAAAGTCCTCAAGAAAAATGATGAATCTTGCCCCCAAAGGATCTTATGAAAATTACTTCACATTACTTGGACTGTATAGAGAATAAATTGCTTCAATTGACATACAATATGTATGGATGAAAGAAGAGAAAGTTCAGTGCAGAGGCCCCACCTCATCCTCCACCCCGAGGTTCTTAATCTGCTGTGACATCATCTGTTTGACGCGGACCCAGGTGATGATGAGCATGTGCCTGATGCTGATGGGAACCACGTCCTCCGCAATGCTCCCGCTGGTCACGTCAAGGGCAAAGTCACAAACCTGGAATTACAGTGGCAGGGCGAACAGAAGCAGGTTTAGCACCACGGAGAGATGCTATAACAACAACGACCATAGGTTCAGCACCAAGGAGAGATACTGTAACAACAGCCACATTTTCAGCATCAGGGCTCAAAATCCTTTTTCTATATACCTGAGAGCTATAGACAGGTAATCAAATAGTAGCTATTATCATAAAGATGCTACTGGAGAAATTTATTTTCAGCCCCAGGTTTGATACTCACCATGGCCCGATGTTGTACAATTGGGAAAGGCACTTTACATGACTTCCCCACCTGTACGGTGGAGTGATGCCCACCGAGCTGCTTAGGCTAATTTGTCTAACTGTATACCAAAAACATACTACGGATTTGGTGCGCCAATGTGTCAACATCAGCACATTTGCCACCGAGAACCGTTGAATAATAATAGATAATTAATAACATCCTGATACCTCCAGAGCCTTTTTGATATCCCCCATGCCATCCTGATCCACAGCTACAGGCTTGCTGGGAGTCTTGGCTGGCGTCTTGGCACTTTTCTGGGAGGCCTTCTTTGACGGGGAGCTGGCCTTGTCTGTGGTGAGTCTGGCGGTGGAGACGGGCTCCTTGGGAGGGGGAGGGGGGATCCAGGGCTGGATCAGGCCGTACGCCAGGGCGTTACACACCTGGGTCAGCAGAATGGCTTCCCTGTAACAGGAGAATAATCAAATTAGAAAAGGAGCCTCAAAAGTTTGGAAGCATTGAATACACTTGTAATACTCTTGAAAAGAGACATCACTGAAAGCCATTGAAAGTCTATAATACCTCTATATAGTTTATAGTATGAGACCTACACTGAAAAGTTTTGAATGATGATTTAGATTTGAAGAATTCAAATTCTTGAATTGCTGTGCAATGATTGAAGTATAATTTCAAATGTCATAAGTATAAAATCACCATTAATAATTTTCTTTATATTTGAAAAATATGAAATCGGGATGAAATGGATACTGCATTAATATGTTTTCACATCACTAATAAAAATCACTGTTCTAAGACTATTATAGTCCATGTCCTCATGACATGGAAGAAACACTTCTATCACACTTGAGTGCTCTCATGACTTACCCTGCATGTCCAACCTTCTTGAGAGCCTCCACCACGGCAGTGAAGGGTTCCACCAGCTCGCGGTGCCGGCTGTCCGTCAGCAGGTGGTTGTTGTAGTTCCACAGGTAGGCGGCGCTGCTGCACACCACCCAGGACTCCTGCAGCTCCACCCCCAGCTCCGCAGCACGCAGGAACCCGGACGTCACCGCACCGGACAGGGAACGGATCCAATCACTGGGGAATAGAAAAAAACAGTTCAAGCAGGTACATATATGAATATTGGCCAAATGAATACTTTTTAATTCAAATGTTGATACTCTATCATTCAGAGTTCTATTAGTTGATTATGATCAATCCAAATAATATTCAACACAATGGTGAGGGCCATTATTATTTGTATACAAAAATTCTGACATCTGTGCAGCTACAGCATTAAGTACCATAATGATTTATAGTTGTATCAGGCAGGAACATCAGTCTAGTAAATGTAACCTCATCAAAATGACAGTTACTTTGAAATTCATTTACCAAAAGCGAAACCACAAATATTTGCTGTCTTTTGCTTTCAATGTTTTAACTGTAAAAGGCTCAAGTATAGCAGCTTACCAGTAGTAGAGCCAGTCAGGGTCTTCCTCTGGCTTCTTGGGTACGTAACCCTTGGGGTGTTTACTCTTGTCCACAGGTGGGATGGGCTGGTTGTTCAGCTGGACTCCCTCAGAACGCAGCAGATGTACCATCGCCTGTTGGATGAAAAAAATGGTTAAGTCACTTCTCATCAATTGAAATGGCTTTTATGTTAAATGTAAATTGTTATGTGTAAAATTCAATGGTTGTACAGATTAAACTATTTTAGTCCCCTCCAATTTTGACAAAGTGCTTCTCCAAAACGTGGTCATCAGCATATGTCTCAGCCACTGATATGAAATTTGCTCATCCAAACAACTTACAGATCAACCTGGGCACCTGACTTATGAAGGTTTAAGTTGTTGTCTGTATACCTCAGAGTTGATGAAGTGGACCTCTGCCAGCATCCTGACCAGGTCCCTGTCATACAGCATCGTGGTGCTCTCCACAGAAACTGGTCCTTCCAGCGTATCTTTCTTTTCCTCTTTGTTGGGACTTTCATTGCTGCCACATAGGAAAATATCTTTATCAGTCGTCATATTGATTACATATTACCTGCTAATATATAATGGCTATTCCTAAAATTTCTCAAAACATTTTCCTTTACTCACTCAACAGTGGCTTTTCATAAGGACTCATGATTATACAAGAAAATCATGGCACTGGATAGGTTTTGAAAACAATTTCCTTGTGTCTAACCTTCATCGACAACTCATGATTACATATGATGTCCTAAAAGATCGCACCAAAAGTATGCAAAGTTCCCCTATGGACCAATTAGTGTTATTCTGGCTATATGTTGACTTGAAAGTAATTAAGTGTAAGACATAGCACATTTAAACATGTAGTTCCAGAAAAGTGGCCCAGCTTACATGGTGACCTCTCCTGGGAACGGCTTCCACCTGCCGTCATCGTAGAGCAGACAGAAGCGGCAGGCGACACGGCACACGTCCCACACCTCCTGCTTACGCGCCGTCTTAGCCAGGTCTGCCCACAGCTGAGCCCTATTACACAAGTACAAAGTTATTGTAATGTAGTAGTAGTAGTAGTAGTAGTAGTAGTAATAGACTGCTTTATTTCCACAAAAGAAATAAAAGCTTGTTGGCAGCCAAAGGGTTGAATTGTACAGTTTGGAAAGTGCTTGAATTATAAATACACATTTAATAATAATACATTATAGGCTGGTACATTTAAAATTCAATCGAATATTACTTTGTCTTCTTAGGATGTAAAATTTCAGAGGTAATTTAACATCATATCTAATGCAGCTATGGCACAACAAAGTGACAGATAAAACTATCTATATGAAAAACATGAAGCACACAATTGGTAAAATGTCTACCATCCATATAAAGATAAGTTGTAATGTTCAAAGTTTGCTTATTGTGTCTGAACACACCTCTCCCTGTCATTCTCATCCCCAAGTCTCTTCAGGTGGCCGGCAGCTTTCTTCACACTCTTCTCGAACTGCCTGGCCTTGGCAGCCAGCTGGGTGATGACAGTCTCCACCCCCTTCCCTCCTCCAGCAGCTACACAACAGTGGCAGGGTGAACAGACACAGGTTCAGCACCAAGGAGAGATGCTATAACAACCACCGGGTTTTCAGCACTAAGGAGAGATCCCCTAACAACCATAGAAAGTCAACAAAATGTACTGCACCTGTGCAAAATCAATACTTTATGGTTTTTGCTGGATGCTTGGTGAACATTGCATTGAAATTTTGCCCATTACATACAATATCTTTGTTGAGACAGCATTTAAAGCTATAGACAGGATGTCAACCTTAAAAATCTGAATACGACCTTAAACAAGACTTTCTGCCAAAGTGCTATGCACATTTTATACATTATGATTGGTTTCACCAAGGCGCAGTATGTTCTACCAATGTGCTACCAACCACCACGGTTTCAGCACTAAGGAGAGGTGCAGCTACAATAAATACATAGCAGCATATCCAACATTTAATTCAGCAACAGGTAACTGCCCTTAACACCAACATGCATCAAAAAGGTTAGCATTAGCATAACCGCATTTAGTAACACTGGAGCCTTACAACAGAGCCTTGCCACCTCCTTCAGTTAACATGTTTGACATATGTGCTTGCCAAGCATAATGAACCCAACACCATGTTGTTAGGACAAGAACCTTGTTAGAACAAGAACCATTATTTTTCCAGGTAATTCAACATTGAACTGAAACTAAAGTGTAGTGGATTCTCACTTTGACCTAGCTTTGCTGATCCAGCACCAGTGACTCTGCCTAAAGATACAACAGACAACACACTTCATAGCTAACACCTTTTAAATCATTGTACCACTTTTCACCTTAATGTAGTTTAAATATCATCTAGTCAGTTGCTAATGTTATGATATTACTACGAAATCACCAAACCATAAAGTTATAAGTATGAAAGCAGCTGAAATCTTTCATACTTTTAAGAGACATTAGCATATCCAGGCTGCATTCAGCAGCTTGACATCAGACAAAAGCAAAATATCAAGGTTACCAAAAAATACATGTAATCATCACTAAATTGTTATGCATACATATATTCCATGTTAACATAATGAAGATATTCATTTTCACAGAGTAAAATATATTGCCTTATAACCATTGTTAATCCATCCAAAAAGCTCAGGGAATAATTAGGAAATATTTGACATATACAGTACCATAATTTGATACAATCGAAAATGATCCTTGAGAGGGAAAACAAATTGATGGTCATCCCCTCCTGAGCTTTGCAAATGGAATAGCCCAAACATAATTTTTTCACACAATATACATGTACTGCAAACATATTCTGTATAAAGCATTTAAATCAAAACAGCCACGAGCTGTGACCCAACCCTTTCCTTACCTTTAGTCTCTGACTCACTGTCCAGTACCAGCAGGAAGGCGTCAGGAGCCAGGGCCTGACCTGCACGCACCAGCAGGGACCTCTTCATGCGCACTGTGCCAGACTCACTGCTCTTACGGGCCTACAAAAACAGGAGACAGAGTGTCGGTTAAAAACAGGAGGAACATATCTCCAACTTACAGTACTGTAACTAGTTTGACAGATTTTTGTACAAACATTACATGTACCTTCATTGCTCTCATGGCAATTTTTGGCTGCTATGCTCACCTAGCTTCTGATGGCCTTCGCCAGTCCATGACCATGTCTTAGTTGCTATGATTATATACTGAGTGCCAAAATAAGTTATAATACTTATAGCCTGTACCTGTTCAATGATCATGGCAGCCTGGTCCTCCTGTCTCTCGGGTGTTTTGTACAGCTGTATCCTGAGCTGGAGCCGGTGTAACATGGTCTCCAGCCTCTCCCTGTACTGTCCACTGTCATCCAGCAGGATGGCCTGGGGGAATACACCGAAGGATTGCAACATGACAACAGCAAGGAAAGAAAGAAAGCAATCTTGAACCAGTTTAGCTCACTATAAACCTAATCTTTCACTGGTTGTGACAGAGATGACAGACACCATGTATTTACAGTGTTTCATTGTACAATGAGCAGTGGATCATGGCTTAACGTCCCATCCTTAGGACTGCAACCCTTTCCAGTAGCGTAAATGTTGGGTGAGCAACAATTGAGATTTGAACTCCCAACCTCTTGGTCCAGAGGGAGGGTCTCCAACCACTGGACTTGTTTTATTTTAGAGGGGGGAGGAGAGATCTAAAATGTACAAGATGGGATTTACATACTGTCTCTGTAGCACTAGATAAATGATAGTACCCCAAAACCGTAGGGCATGACACCTACCTTCCTGAGATGGTCCATGGCCACCTCTATCTGTTCCTGGTCCTCCTCACACTTGGCCAGCTCAGTGTGCACCTGGCATCGCAGCAGGATCAGCAGGCTGGGGAGGGGGGCAGTTAGGTCAGGCGTCATGGTGGTAGAAAGTAGCAGTGAAAAAAACATTTATTTTCAATTTGTAATCATCCATGTTTTAGATTAGAAGTCCTGTCAAAAGTATGTATGTTACCACTACTTGTATTTTGTACACCTGTACATGAATGTACAAAGATGGCTAATCTGTCAATACACACGTCCTCTGCCTCACCTCTCAATGTCCTCTAAAGCCTCGGCCACCATGGCCAGTGGTCTCCTGACATGCTGGCGCAGGTTGGGCTGCAGCAGGGGGAGGCACATGTTCCACTGCGTCACGCAGCCCGCCTGGATCACGTTAGGGTCACCATAACGGACCGCGTTCTGCAGGGCCTGCATCAGTCGCTTGATGGCCAATACTCGGACCTGAAACGGTCATGAAATGATCAGTTTTCCTTATACTATTAACTTCAGCCCTCATAATGTTGGAACCTATGGCTGCCACATTAAAAAAAACTGATCTACTAATGCAGCATCAATGATCCCTGAAGCATGCACACTTCATGTCCCAATAACACCCTTTCTGTAATGTCACAGTGGCAGTCTTAGAGTACTAACAAGAATTATGGCAGGGGATACTAACTTATCTCAAACACATCAGAATAAAGCTAAGAACAAAGTCCCTCAAAAGACTTGACATGGCAGCTCTGACCTCCACAGCAGACTTGGTGTAGGACTCCATCTTGTTCTTCAGGTTTTTCACCATCAGGTCACAGTTCATGAACTCTGCCTGTAGCATGGTGGCCTCATCCTAAGGTTAGAGAAATTGGTGGCATTTTTTCAGACGGGGCAACTACCATGGAGAGTATGAATAATGTACATCATACACCAAAAGCAATTCCTGGTTTTGCACAATGGGATAGAGAAACAAACCGGTGACATCCAGTCTTGGAATTTCAAACATGCAAATAATTAATATACCCTTTTTTTTGTTTTTACCTTGACTGGACATGCCATGATGCCATCCACACACTGTGTTGCCAAGTCTGGGAAGTTGTGGTCCAGACACAGTCGTCCCAGCTCCAACAGCAAGGATGGCCTGAACATGAGATCACATTAGAACAACAGTTACTAATAATCAGATGTTATTGTTGATTCACATCTTTCAATTTGTGAAAAAGTTGAATGAAATTGCCCATGGACTAATAGAATCAGAAGAATTCTTATCAGACTTTATCAAATAGAATAACTGTTTGCTGAAATAAGTGCTCTATATTAGTAAGACCAATTGCCTATTTTGAACTCCTAGATTCATTCAATATGATCAGCTGTTGAGAGATTGGTTAGATATTCACTTACTAAGTTGTGTTAAAGATGAAAATGTGGCAAGCTACAATGTACATCTATTGAGAACGTTTTATCTACATTGTACTTATATGTGAGGCTAACAATAAACTACCACTGCCCACAGTGCCTTCAGAGATGCTTTATCTGTAAAGTAAGGAGTTTGTTAGTCATAATACTAGTACATAGCAACTGCCAAAGCTTCAAGCTGCAGAAATACAGCAATCATACACTAAATTATCTTCAGCAAGTATACAACAGAAGCAGCATCTTGAAATAAATCACAACTATAGATAGTGACAGTTTTAAACTGTTTTATATGTAACTGTAGCATAAACTTTAAGTTGGAATCTTATTTTAATAAGATTTATCATACAATATCCAATTTTATGTTTACTGAACTATTTTAGATATAGCCTTGATCTCTACATGTATCTACATAATGTGGCAAAGAACTGTGTTAGTTATGAATCTACAATTATGTTAATATATACCACATTATCTTGGGACAGAACAACCAACATGTCATTAACCAGTTAACTAGAACCTAAAGTTAAAACCACTAATACCAGTATACAGGATAGGGGTCTGTATTTAAAGTGCCACATTGATTGCCTTACGTTGTCTGTAATATAACAGTTCTATGCTTTGCCATGCAACATCAGCAGCTACTGGAGCTACACTATCAGTATGTGGGATTAGCACTACAGGGGATCATGTTAATATTCCCAGCACCGTTGCTCCCCTGACATTGAGAACTCACTTCTCCGCAACAACAAAAGTTTCTGCTCTATGTGGGAGGCTTGGAGAATCACTTCTACTGACAACAGAACGATCGCTGCTCCTGTCAGAAGTGTTGGAATGTGACATTCTGCGGACAGACGGTCTCCTAGCCAGGCGCTGTCCGTTAGAGGCATCCAGGGAACCTCTGTTGCAGGTTAGAAAGTTGTTGGGAGATGTTGCAAAAAGGGGAGGAAAACCTCTGTGTGAAATGTTTGTGTGTTAACCTACAACACTTACAAATAAATCAAAGAACCATTCCTTGCGTAATTTTTAACTACATGCCAATATGTACCATATTTTACGGGTAAATACAAAACATTAGGATTGGTCGGCACTGTACTGTTATGAAGAGTAAAGAACTAAAACATTATATTAAGTATTAAGCCTTAAATATCTAGACTAGACTATCTAAGGGACAAGACATGACAAACACGAAACACAGGACAGAATACACAAAAACAACACTGTAGCACATTCTATGATGCTATTCGCTAGCTAAGAACAACAATAGACAAACAGATAACGACATCCTTACGTCCCGTCACCATCAAATAGTTCAGTTGATGAGAAATCATCGGATTCAGATCCTGGAGAGCTTGTATGGGAAAACAGCAGAGAAACATGTAATAGGAGAAACAAGACAGAATACATGGCAAGTGGATTATTTGACACTGATTTCTGGAATGGTACAATAAAAAAAAGGACAGTTGACAGTGGACACACACAAGACAAAAACAACATACATCACATGAAGACAGACAGAGAATTTTCAGAATTCCATCATTACAACACCTTGCATTGACTTTGAAGGCCAACACATATAAAAAGTTTGAAGTATAAAATTAAGTACATTATTATACACAGGGTATAGAATTTTCTTCTTACACAACCAGTAAGGTTCTCACCTGCTTACGTTTCGATGTCTATCAGACACCTTCCTCAGAGCTTCTGACTGGAGTTCTGCAACTCGCCGCTATTTAACGCCAATGTAGGTGGCGCTTTTGCGGCGAGAATGCAATCCCAAACGCGGCTGAGCTTGTATCCCCCCTCGTCCCGGGACGGTAGACTGGGAGGGTGCCAGGGTCATAGATAGAGAGGACAATAGAAGAATCCGTTGGATTAAAGAAGCAGTCTGGATAAGGAAGTCAACCCCAGTGATGAACCGGGACGAGGGGGGATACAAGCTCAGCCGCGTTTGGGATTGCATTCTCGCCGCAAAAGCGCCACCTACATTGGCGTTAAATAGCGGCGAGTTGCAGAACTCCAGTCAGAAGCTCTGAGGAAGGTGTCTGATAGACATCGAAACGTAAGCAGGTGAGAACCTTACTGGTTGTGTAAGAAGAAAATTCTATACCCTAAGTATCTTCCAACCTGATGAAATTATTTACGGGGATTATTATACACAATATAATATACATACAACTCAAGGTAAAAACTGCATTTGCCCTGGTAACATTTTGGACCTTAATTTCAAAACTGCATGCTATATACATTTTGTAATGTCAAAATTGCAACATGCATCATCATGTCGTTCAATAGACCCATTCGACTTTCACGGATCGCATAAACTGCTTACGTCACAGGGGGGACATTTTGAATAGAAACTACGTCACAGGGGGGACATTTCGAAAGTTCCTTTCACGGATCGCATAAACTGCATACGTCACAGAACAAAATAACCTTAAATTGTTGTACGGAATGCTACCATACAAAGTTGGTGGCTGTTTTCCTGTCATTTCCGCATATATTACCGAGAAAATAGACACTTACCTACCATTTAGTAAAAAAACGATCTGCCAGGGGGGACACCGCGAGCGCAAGACGCGTTCGACTTCAGCGTTCTAGAACGATGTTCTTTCGAAATGTCCCCCCTGTGACGTAAGCAGTTTATGCGATCCGTGAAAGTCGAATGGGTCTATTCATAGCAGGCATTTACTAGAAAATGTCAATATCCTATATATAGTAATTCTATGTACACATGTGTACTGCAAACTGAATGTGGGAGGCAATCTCTTTTATTTTCACATGGAAACTATTAATACTAGAGGTTGGTATAGCAGTTCACATCATGCAGTTTGCTAACTTGAAAACAAATCCTTGCAAACTATAAAATGAAACAGTGTACTAGCATTGACATATGATACATGATTAACATTACACACCTTTCTTCAATAGATGGAGGGTTTGCTGAGATCTCCTTCTCTCTCTCCTTGTCACTGAGAGTCTGACTCTTCCTGCCGCCGCTGTAGGAGGATGCGTGGGACTGCATGTCATCCTCCTGCTGCAGGATCTGTCGCAGGATCTTAAACAGCTCCCTGTGCAGGTTAGGGTGCGGCTCTCCTGACTCCAGACCACTGACAAACATGGGGTTTAGTGTTAACCACAGTCACAAAATTAACAATAGAAAATAGAAACTTTAAGGTACGTTCTGCAAGCAAATGTTTACCTCGCTTCACTTACATGTAGGATCCAACAAATATGTTTCCCTTCTCTCAAGGTAAAAAGGAGGCTTCCCATATGACGTAATACTACATGTAGTACACATGCATGTACGAATTGCACACCTGCAATTATAAAGCTTGGGCTGGTACCCTATCTACTGCCATTGCATGCACTCAAAAGTTCATTGTGTTGTAGAGATACATTAACCTTCAGTCTGTTGTTCATATAATGATGCTGCAATTGGTTTATTTAGTACATGTACTAAAGAAGCTGCCTTGCCCTTCTCCAATATGTGTAATACATGCAGTTTCATCTGGAGTTACAGAGTCTGACAAACAGGGACACGTCCTTGGTAAATATATAGACCACCACCCCACACTCGAATATCATGACCATTGCTGTGCAGGAGACACTTACGTTTTGAGCTTGCAGATCTTGTAGTACACAGCCAGGTCTCCTGATGCCGTCACTTTCAGCAGGTCCCGAAGAGCTTTTCCTGGCTCACCAAGCTTGTGCTTAATCTGGGGGGAAATTAGTAAAAGCATTACAAATTAAAAGAAAAAAACCCTCATCTTTTATCTTTTTTAAATGTTATTATAATAAATTACTTTACGTTGTATTGTCATAAATGACAAGTTTGAATGAATAAATGAAAATGACTATAAATGCATACAGATTTAAAGCTGACAATTTTTTATTCAGGCTAGACACATCTTTTTCTACTCCAATCCTGTCCAAGTATGTGGCTCAGACTTAATCTCTTCTCAAACATGAGATGTACAATGTATATTCAAGCTGCCCTAGAACCGTATCATGTATGAACATGTAGACACAATATCCGGTAACATAACATAAGGTCCACTACATATTGCAGCGATTCAAGGAGAAAACTATAATCACGATGGCGCAAAGCAAGGCACTGCGTGTACGTTTCTACTCGTGGTTTCCAATCATCTACTTCTTGTGTACGCAGAAGCTTTACGGTGCCCTGACAGCTGTCACTCCACCCACATACAGGTTGGTAAGTGGGGAAGGAAGCAAGTCGTCTGTCACTGTCCAGACAAAAACTGGGCAGGTTCCTCCTGCAGCTGGATTGGCTATGGAGGGGTGTACCGCTTCTCTGTATGCCTCGACGCCATACCAACCGACTTTGTCAGAGCCACGCGATCCGTCTTCATGCGGCATCTTCGTTCTCCTACCATCTTGGAGCGATCTTTCCCCAACAGTCCAGAGCTACAGTCCCTTCAAATCCAAAAATCCAACATCACCACACTACAGCCGGGGGCTTTCCGAGGTCTCCCATTGATGAAAAAGCTCCACCTTAATGACAACCGCATCTCCAGTCTTGGTATGTTGACAAAAATGTGTTTTTTTGGGCTCTTCATACATTGTATTTAACCCAAATTATGGAGAAATGTGCACATGGGCATTTTTCCACGACTTAGAATTATTTTCTTTTTTATTAAGATTATTTTTACCAAAAAAATACCTTGTTAGATTCTCCAAGGTTGTATTTTTGATGTTTTTTGTTGTCATTTTGATAAAACAACACTTCCACAAAATCCCTGCAAACTTAATTTAAATTGATTGACAGTAGTCTGTTTTGTCTATCCTCAGAACCTGATACCTTCCTTGGGCTTGAGAAGGTAACAACGTTGTCCCTTAAAAGGACTGCAATTTCAGTTATATCCCAGCATGCATTCCGTGGCCTAGATCTCCTTGCCTGGTTGATGTTGGACATGAACCGTCTGCATTCGGTACCTGTCGACACACTCCTGCCGCTTACAGCACTGACACTTGCAAACCTTCAAAGAAACCGCATCACCACCATCGACAGCCAAGTCCTGCGTCTGAGTTACAACCAGACCTTACGGCTTATGTTAGCAGACAACCAGCTGAAATGTGACAAGAATCTCACCTGGTTCATCTGTAATCTACCAGACTTGGACCACATTTCTCATCCTGACTTACTGAAGTGTGCGTCACCTGCCAACCTGAGTGGAATGTCGCTAGCCACCGTGAGGAAGGATATCATCAGTCAGACTAACATGGACAGGTCACCACAGGGGATCAGGCTGGGCAGATGTGATGGAACATTCACCACAACAGGTCCACCTGCCATCCACACCAGTCTGCACAACCACACCATTCCCACAGAGATGCCATACACAGTACTAGTACCGTACAAGGCTCGAAGTTTACCAGAGGGAATGACATTGTCATTCTTCTCGGTGGACCAGTCATCAATGAGGAAGATGGCAGTCGCTATGTCAATGTCATCGTTGTGCCAGTCATCACTGCTGTTGTTGTACCCCTTGTCCTTGTGCTGGCAACGGGGGTCGTCGTCTACATGTACAACAGCTGTCATGGCACTGGTCTGACCCGTCAAAATGCACCTGCTGAAACAGATGGAAACTCTGCCCAACTGGGAGCATTGGTCAGAGACTCTGTCAGAGGCAAACGACCAACTCCTGCTGAAGGCCAGACATCAGAGGGTAATGATGACATTGAGCCGTACGCTGTACGATACGTGGATGTGTCTGGGAAAGGGAAAAACGGCGCAACAACTTCCTTTGCTAACAACCAGCCAATAGAAGACAACGATGACATGAAACCATACGCTGTAGCATACGTGGATGTGTCAGGGAAAGGGAAAAATGGCAAGCTTGCGCCGTACGCAACAACTTCCTTTGCCAACAACCAGCCAATAGAAGACAACGATGACATGAAACCATACGCTGTAGCATACATGGATGTGTCAGGGAAAGGGAAAAATGGCAAGCTCGCGCCGTACGCAACAACTTCTTTCACTCACAATCAAACAGAGGAAAATGATGACATCCAGCCATATGCTGTCGCATACGTTGATGTGTCAGGGAACGACCCCATATCCAATGACCCTCATCAATGAAGACCCAGGACCACAGTTTAAGCCACATTCTGTGGCCCATGATGAAGAACCAGGACCACAGCTTCAGCCATATTCAGTGACCTATGAAGAAGACCCAAGGCTACAGCTTCAGCCATATTCAATAACATACGAAGAAGACCCAAGGCCACAGCTTCAGCCATATTCAATAACAAACGAAGAAGACCCAAGGCCACAGCTTCAGCCATATTCAATAACAAACGAAGAAGACCCAAGGCCACAGCTTCAACCATAATGCTAAAAATGTGGGACCTTATGGAATGGACAAGGGAAAAGAGGTCCCAAGTGTCAGTGGGATGCTATACAGGAGTGGCTCACAGCACACTGGTGCAGAGAAGCACAGCAAATCGCACACGATGTAGAGACAGCTCAAACAGAGCTTGTATCAAAGACATGCCATTTGAAACTGGAATGATTAATTTTGCTGAAGTCTTAAATATTCAAATTTTAATACAAATGCCATTTGAACAAACATGTACAGGTGAGGTTATGATTTTACCAAGAAGTTGTTTTGAGATTTATCAATTTCATTGCATTTTTTTCTTATATGCAATATGCATTTCTTGGTTCACAATACAAAAAGTATGGTTTAGGGGTATTATGACACACTGTGCCACAAGTTGTTGTAGTTGGACAGTCTTGGCTGTGTGTCTTGCACTTAGAAGAGTTTATGCAGTTGATGAGTACAGACTGTATTGAAAAGTAATACTTCTTGCTTTGTATAAGATCATTTAATTAGATGCCCGTAGCCTGACCTCATGTGACTAAGAGATCAACTTTTGTTGTATGGACATCACTAGTAGCATTAGTGGTGGAGCTCCCTTGAGCCTATTTGAACAATTTCTCATGGTCACAATCACAGGTGGTATTTTGAGCCCTGTATTGGATATCACTTGAAAATTGTTCGTGACATACCTGCAGCCTGAAGACATCCTTGAAAAGGGAGGGGACGTTCTGGCGTGTAAAGGTTGCTGCCAGGTTGCTGATGGTCTCTGCATCTTTGGGCTTGTTGGAATCCATCAGGCACTCGATCAGGGCTCTGTGGACAGCAAAATACAAAACAAGCCCCTTCATGTCAGGCATTTTACTCATCATTACCAAAATATTAAAACTTGTGACTTTCAAACAGAATGGCAATTCCTTGAAATAATGTTTGTGAATGGAAGTATGATGAAATGAAACTCATTAGCATAACGTTGCAATGCTCTGTGCTTACATCATGAGTTGAGCTCTCCATTCGTAGTCCTTGTCGTCTATCTCGTCCAGGGCCCTGACCACCTGGTGCAGGGACTTGGCCAGGTGCTGCCGGTGGTTGGGCTTGAGGAAGGGACGACACATCTGCCAGTACAGCACAGAGGCATTGTACACCAGGAAGTGGTACCTGAAGTCAAGAAGGGAGAAATTTCAGGTTTAGAATCAGATGCAGGTACAAGATCTGCCCTTTTAACTCACTTATCAAATGTCCATCAGCATCAAACTATGACAAAGTTTGTGGCTTTCTATCTTACAGTTTGTAATGTACGGTGTCAACCTATTGGGAACGTACAACCATTATCAATACAAGTAGTACCCTGTAATCCTTATTCCAAACGTGATTGGCCATTCATACATTTACTGTCAAGCAAAATGAAAGTTTCTGTATTTCATACCTTGGTGTCTCCTTTGCAAAACTGATGGCTTTCAGCAGGTACACCACAGCCTTCTCAAGTTGTTCCTGAAACCATCGCATCAGAGTCAGAATCATACCATGTTCAGTATCACATAGAATCTGGTAAAGCGTTAAAAAAAGCAACGTGACTATCTACATGTATGATGGACCATGTAATAAGAACTCAGCCTTTAGAGGAATCCAGTCATAAATGCCCTGAGAAAGATGACAGCGGTCATCGAAACGTTGGCTCTTGTTAAACAAGTGGTCATGAATAAAGAACTTTGTTATTCTATCCATCTATGGAATCCTACAGTAGCCTGGGTCACTAGCCAGTGATATTAGGGAGCTAGCATAAACTATATATATCAAGGATGGCACCCAGGCAAATCCTACAAGTAGAGTCACACAGAAACCAGCTGCATGACTTACAGGGTTGTCAGCACTGGTGGGGGCTAACATCTGAGCCTGGCAGAGGTAGGCCCGGCACAGGAACTGATTGGGAGGGGGGGTCCGCAGGAAGTACAGCCGCAAACACTCGTTTGTGATGTCCAGGTGGCCATACTGTAATAAAAATGGAATAAAAACATGTACTTATTTCTTGTGTTTGACTTCCCAACTATTACTGGCATCTTTCTTTTGATTGACTGCAATAAGTGACAAATAATAATGACACAACAAGTAATACATGTATATAGCAACAAGTATAAGCATGTTAGCTAAACCTTTTTGAAACCTGGATTTTTCGTGGGTTTCTTTGGACGTTTGGTCAATGATGTATCAGGATTTTGCAACTTGCAGATGACATTTTTGGAATCCCATTCTTAAATATGTGATAAAGACCTTAAACGAGACATTCTGCCAAAGAACTATGCACGAATGCACAATACATTATGGGGTTTCGTGCAGGCACAGTACATTCTGTTGATGAGCTGTAATACATAACATTACCTGAAATCCCAGTTCAGCACAGATGACATACAGGTCCAGTCCGAAGGCAGCTGCGGAGTCAACAGCTGGCACCTGGTCACCTGCACCCTTCAGGACTTCAAACGCCTGATCCAAGTACACCTGGCCATCTTTGGCTACAGGAAACACAGGGACATGGAAAACTCGCTGATACTTTTCTTTTCATCAGAACTGTTATTCTTTGTTAACTTATATCTGGCCATAAATTGCACAAAACTGTAATCCTTGATTACACTGATATATCGTTATATTCATGATAAAGGTTGATTCAACCATGGAGGTTGAATATTATCTATTTTTATAAGAACGAGATCTGTGGAGCATCTGTGGATCATTCTTGTTGAAAAGCTGATGTTGCAAAAACTTTGACGAAAGCTATTCCCCAAGTTTGCTTAAATTATTCCATTGTATGACGGTGACCAAATTTATAATTTTGACAGTTCTTCAACTCAGCTCACCTCCATACTTCTGGGCCGCTGACAGCAAAGTGCGAATGTTGGTGTCCATTCTTGCTGAACCCCACGGTTTATACGCCTATCATGTATCACCTAACACTCGCTGATCGCACGCGAAAAGTAGCGTTAGACCAATAAATTGAAACAAACTTGGCGGGCTACTTCACCACAAAGTTCTAAATGGCCGCCATTTTGAAGTGACGTTTTACACCTTGAAATCATGTCATATGTACAAAATAATTCCCTGTTTCAAACACACATAATTTCGTCAGTGTATGAATTTTTTACGTTTTGAGAAAAGTTGTTATCAGATATGATTGCTCTTTGTATATCTAGTGAAAATTTCTATGATGGTATAACAAATCCTGGATATATATTTGTAGCGCATTGATTCATTTTTGGTTGCTATGTAAACTATCCGCCTAGCAACGGCAACGCCTTCCCAGAAGGCCATTCAAAAATATGGGAGGTCAGAGGTGAGTTTTCCGGCGCATGCGTGGTTTGTTGGAGGGAACCGGGAATGGCCGAGAGAAATAAAACAAAAACACCGCCAAGTTTCCACCGTCTTCTGGACGCTCTGACGAAGGTGTGAGTGTGAAACCGGCTTATCCTGTAAGGTGAGGAAAAGGCGAACATGAGTTAAGTAAAGATCGTCTACCAAAGATGGAGATTTGTATCAAAAACAGGGGTCGATGTTAATGATATTATGGGGGGGGGGGGGGCGAAGCGTGTTCGGAGAAAGACAAAAGGCCGTACACATCTAGGCATTGAATATAACAGCGATGCTCTGTTCAGAAGAAATGCAATGAAAGGTAACAATACCGATACATTTGCAGCTGGAAATGCTGAGTGAATATCTATTTTGTCTTAATTTATGACGTGTACATCTAATGTTGTTGTTCCCTCCTGGCGGTACCATCTAATACTGCAGCTGTCTTTTGTTTTCATTCATAATTTTCTGCTTTTCTGGGGCTTTATAAAGTCAGGCACGTACTACGCAGTGCTGTTCATGGTAACGCCAACTGACTAACTAACTAGATTTACTAGCTTAGAAGTTGAGGGAAATTGGTTTGCTAACTAAGGAATCTTTCCACTAAGTGACTTTACTTATAACTTAACTTGTTATCCAGTAGTATCGAGCTACTCAAGTTCACCCACCAGTCCACTTCTGATCACGTCCAAGTGCAAACCAGCAGTTATGGCAAAGAGGAGGAGGTCTAGCTCTGTGGGGATGGATGTTCGGCTGGACGAGGACATGGGTCCTTCCATGAAGACTCGCAGGAAATCAGCTCCATCAATTGATACAGGTACTTGTATGTTTGTGGACATCACTTAGTTTATTATAGTATGGTATCTAATATTTTTAGTATCTTTGTGCCATGTATGTGCCAAGAGTCCCACTTCTTTTCTTTTCCTATGTGCATTTAGATTTTAATAAATGGTATACGCATACGCATACTACGTATGCGTGGTTTGAATATTTGCCCCATCCACACTACCAGCAAGTTTTCACACAGCAATAATGATCCCTATGCAATAGCCACCTCTTCTGCATTAAATTAATGTACATTTATATGGAAACACTTTGTATGTGTAACCTGTACAAATGGGTGCTTCTCATGGTGGCACTGTTGGTTGATATTAATGTTCGTTTATCTGTTTTGTCCTAAACAATGCTTTTTTTCCTTCTCTATGCCAGCCTATCCTAGGATTGGTAGGTTGCCTTGAATTGTAGCTTTTCCTGTGGTGTGCATAAAATCTACTAGTCTTTCCTGTCTTCTAAAAATAACAGTGGCTTGATACTGGCTAGAAGTAGAACTGATTCCCTTTCTAGAGTGTAATCTAAAACCATGTGTTGTATAATTTGCTAACCTACAGTTTACATATACTTGTAAATGTTGTAAAACTTGTTCTCTCTCTCCCCTCTCCTTCCACAGGTGAGGTCATCCAAGACCTGTATGACATCATCCGCAACCATCGGGACGAAAAACGGCCGCCTGCTGTGTGATCCGTTCATCCGCGCTCCCAACCGCCGCAATGCCCCAGACTTCTACGAAGCCGTGGACACCCCCATTGACATGCTGAGGATCCAGCAGCGAATCCGAACGGACGAGTACCGCACCCTGCAGGACTTCACCGCGGATGTGGAGCTGCTGGTGAACAACGCCAAGCGGTACTACCCGCAGGGCAGTCAGCAGTACAATGACGCCAGCGCTCTGTGGGAAATCTATGTGGAGGCCAGGGATGAGATTCTGCATGAGGTCCACGGGGGCATCAGTGGGGACTCCATGGAGGCCAAGGCAAAGAGGGGGAGGGAGGAGATGGACGAAACAACAGAGGAGGAGGAGGAAGAGGAGGATGGTGAAGAGGAGGATCAGGAGGAGATCGACTTCCCTCCCTTCGCAGCAGATACAGAGAACCCATATGAACAGCTCTTCGTAGCCATGGCCAACGCCACTGATCCAGCCGGCAGAGCTATGTCCTTCCTTTTCCAGAAGCTGCCAGTCCGGTCAGAGTTTCCAGAGTATTACAAGATCATCAAGGACCCCATGGACCTGACGATGGTGGCTCGTAAGATCAAGAGAAATGTGTACAACACGCTAGCAGACATGGAGAGGGACATCAGCCTCATGGTAAGGAATGCCAAAACCTTCAATGAGCCAGGATCTCTTGTCTACAAAGATGCTGTGGCACTGAAGAAGATTTTCTCACTGAAGAAGGCAGAGCTTGAGGGCGAGCCTCTAGGAGTCAGGAGTTCGGACAGATCCAGTCGGAGGAGTGGTAGGTCAGGACTGAGCAGCCGTCTGTCGGCTATCACCGCTGCCCTGCAGTACTCGTCAGAGGAGGAGGAACAGAGCGAGACCAGCGAGCGCGTGTCAATCACGGAGTACGAGGAGGAGTCGGAAGCGGACAGCTCCATGTACGAGGAGGGGAACACATTCCTGGCACTGTACGACCACGTCAGAGGATACTCCACCGGTCAGGGCATGTGTCTGTCCGAGCCATTTCTTAAGCTCCCGTCCAAGAAGGCATACCCTGACTACTACCAGGAGATCAAACATCCCATGTCCATGCTGAAGATCAGGAGCAACATTAAGCAGGGTTTGTACGAGACCCTTGACCACCTGGAGGCGGACTTCACCCTGATGTTCGAGAACGCCAAGCAGTACAACATGACGGGCTCTCGCATCTACAAGGACGCAGTCGAACTGCAGCAGGTCATGCAGGTCAAGAAGAGAGAGCTGACCAAGTCAGACAGCAACTACGGAGACACGGAGAGCGTGATGAGCAGCGCCTCTGGTGTCAGCAGGAAAGTCAAACGTCCGCAGATCATGGAGGATCTGGAGGAAAGGCGAAAGAAGAAGAAGAAGGACGAAGGAGAGAACACCCTGAAGGGACGACTGCGGTTCCTGTATGATGCCATGATAGCCTATTGTGATACGTTTGGCCGGTTTCTCATCGAGCTGTTCATGAAAAAGCCTTCACGGAAAGACTACCCCGAGTACTACAAGATCATCCTCGAGCCCATCGACATGAAGACGATCGACTACAACATCCGAACCGACAAGTACTCCAGTGTGGAGGCCATGTTGGAAGACTTTGATCTCATGTTCAACAATGCACGCCACTTCAATGAGGAAGGTTCACAGGTGTATATAGATGCCTGCACGTTGGAGAAGGTTTTGAAAGACAAAGTCAAACAGCTGGGCCCTCTGCCTTCAGAAGGTGGCCTCTTCTCTCCAAAAGCAGGACTGAAGGGGCCAAGAAAAAGCTCGCCAAAGAAGTCAAAGTTTTTGACACCCCTGCAGCAGAAGCTGCGAGACATGTACGATGCAGTGAAGGACTACAAAGACTCCACAGGCCGCAAGCTCTGCTTCATGTTCCTCCAGCTTCCTTCCAAAATAGACTATCCCGACTACTACCAAGTCATCAAGAAACCGATCGACATGCAGAAAATCGAAGCCAACATGCGATCCAACAAGTACAACACTGTGGAGGACTTTTTGGAGGACTTCCTTCAGCTGTTTGACAATGCTTGCAGATACAACGAGCCAGACTCACAGATATACAAAGATGCTCTGATCCTGCAGCGGGCCCTTCTGGAGAAGAGAGATGAAGTCCACGGGGACGGGAGCTCAGAAGTGCCAGACATCCGCGGGTGTGTGCAGGACCTTCTAAACAGCCTCTTTGTATCCGTTCTAAACCACCAGGACGAGGAGGGGCGGTGCTACAGCGACTCCCTCTCAGAGTTACCCGAGAAAGAAGACAAGAAGGAGAAAGAGCAGCAGCAGGAACCTCACAAGAGAGGTCCAGCAAGCTTCAAATCCATCCGCAGAAACCTAGACAAGGGGCGGTACCGGAGGCTGGACGTGTTTCAGGAAGACGTGTTTCGGGTGTTTGAGAGGGCCAGAAGAGTGAGTCGCACCGACTCAGAGATGTACGAAGATGCCGTGGAGCTCCAGCAGTTCTTCATCACCATCAGGGATGAGATCTGTAAGAACGGGGAGCTGATGCTGTCCCCAGCCCTCAGCTACACTCACAAACACCTCCAGGTCGAGCTGGACGCCGAGAAGAAGGAGAAGATCCCGAAAGAGGTGGAGGAAGACAAGGAGAAGAAGGACGGTGATGAGAAGGAGGAAGATCAGCTTGAAGAAGAATCCAGTGAAACTGCGATGCAGCGGAAATACAGTGAGGATGTCAGCTGGGAGGACCAGTCCTTCCGTGTGGGAGACTTTGTGTACATAGAGAACCAGGACAAGAGTCAGCCTCCTCACATTGTCTGTATCGAAAAACTCTTTCAGGACGACCAAGGAGACCAGTGGCTGCATGGCTGTTGGTTCTACCGTCCAAAGGAGACCTTCCATTTGGCCACAAGGAAGTTTTTGGAGAAGGAGGTGTTCAAGAGTGACTACTACAACATCGCCCGCGTTGCCAACATTACAGGAAGATGTTTTGTGATGTCAGTGAAGGAATACTTCAAGAGTAAGCCCCTGGGATTTAGTGATGAGGATATCTTTGTATGCGAGTCTCGATACAGCGCAAGAGCCAAGGCCTTCAAGAAGATCAAAATCTGGCCCACACCCCCTAGTAATGTAAAAGTCATTCCACGGGAAGAACCACTGTCTAAAGTCAGAGTAGCGTCGGTTTTTGCAGAAGAGGCCAAAGCAGAAGAGCAGGAGGCAGAAACTGAGGATCAAGAGGAGGAGGAGGAAGAAGATGTCATTGACAAGTTCAGAGAGAACATTGCAGTGGAGGCATCAAACACTACTGAGCCTGGGGTATCCCATTACGAGCAGTTGATCTATGGGGGAACCTGCTTCAAGCTCGGTGACTCCGTCTATGTGAAGTCCAACAGGGAGCAGCCTCTCATGGCTCGTATAGACAAGATGTGGGTGGACGCCAACAGCGAGCCGTGGTTCCATGGCCAGTGGTTTATCTACCCCTCGGAGACAGACCACAACCCCACCAGGCTGTTCTACAAGAACGAGATCTTCCTCACATCCATGGAGGAGTCCAAGTCCATGAGAACCATCCTGGGGAAGTGTTGCATCCTGGCCTACAAGGACTACCTCATCTGCCGCCCCACAGAGTTCATGGAGGACGACATCTGGGTGTGTGAGGCTCGCTACTATGAGGCCGACAAGCAGATCCGCAAGATCAAGGCCCTGAAGAAGTACAGCCTGTCCCCTAAAGTGACGGACGACGAGATATTCTTCTTCCGTAAGCCCATCATCCCGGGAAAAGTCCCCTCACCCAAGTTGGCGGAGATTTCAGAGGAGCCCGTTGCATTCGCCGTGCCTCCTGAAGCAGAGGAGGAGCTGCAGCAGCCGTCAACTCCCGTAAAGGCGCCGAAGGCCAAGCGTCCGCCGAGCGGGTACATCCTGTTCTCCAGCGAGATGCGAGCGACGCTTAAGAAGCAGAACCCCAACTACGCCTTCGGGGAGATCAGCCGCATCGTGGGGATGGAGTGGAAGAACCTGAGCGCAGCGCAGAAGGCCGTGTACGAGGAGCGGGCGCAGCAGCAGAGCTCCGGCCAGAACGACGAGGAGTCGCCCTACCCGGCGTCCCCCGCCTCGGGCCACAGCAGCAGCCGCTCGGACCCTCTGCTCCTGGTGTGGGAGTGCCTGTGGGAGGGCTGTGACTACCAGTACGAGAGTGAGAAGGACCTGGTGGCCCACCTGCTGGAGACGTCTGGACACCTGAAACCCGAGGGCGAGCAGCAAGAGTACTTCTGCTACTGGGCCGGCTGCCCCAGGTCAAGGGTCAAGAAGAGCCTCCCGTTCCCCAACATCTCCGGGATGAAGCGCCACGTCAGGGAGGTCCACGTGAAGACGTCTTCTCGACAGATCCCACTCAGCCAGAGAAGTCGGAACTACGTACCGTACCAGCCAGGGTACCAGGCATCGCCGAGTCAGTCACCCCGCCCATTCACACCACAGGTAGGGACATATAGTACTGTTATGCACTCAATTTATCACGCTGACTTATACTAGAGTAACCTGATTAAAATCTTGCCAAATCTCTGGCAAACTTGTCAGCTTCGACAGTGCTTCCTCCTTGTTCTAACATTTTATGAAGACATCATTTTCTTTGCATTCACTTGTACCTTCCAAGTCAACTTGAATATTCTTGTTAGCTTGCATGTGTCTTGTGTTTTAAATAGAGTAGTATCTTGTTAAGAATATAATATATTGAAGCCAGTTTGTTACTCCATGTGTTTTGCAGGGTTCTGGAGCTGTATTGGGTGTTGTTCCTCCCCCCATGCCAGCTGGCATGTTATCCCAGACACAGATGGCAGCAAACGGTAAGACCTGCTACATTACATTGATTGTACAGAGGTAATCTTAGTCCCAGCAACAAGTGTATTGAATTTATGACTTACATGACATATATATGTACATGCATGAACCTGTCACTTCTATCTATAAATGAAATCATATACATTGTACTGTCAAATGTATACAAGTGACCACCTTTACAAAAGGACCACCTGACCAATGTGACCAATTTTTGGGTGGTCCCTTTGGTAAAATTTCTGAATCCCATTGACACAAGCATTTATTAGTAAGAATCCTGTCTATAGTGACCACCTGTCCACATGGACCAGATGTTATACAATGGTCGTCTTGGGCAGTTTTGACTGTTGGTAGATACATGTTTGTTATCGATGTAGTATTGATTTCTGTTCTGAAATGACTTACTGTATTCATCTTCCAGGCACCCCTGGCCAGAGGATGACCCCAGGTACCAGCCAGGTAATGACCCCTGGACAGTCTATGAACATGCCTGCTAACAGTCTACAGGTAGATGTTGTGTGGTGTTTGCAGTCCCTGTACCTCAAAACATTTTTTAAAAAGTCACATTTGATTACAATATTGCTCTTCACATCCGTCAAATTCCCCCATCAGCTTCTACGTCAGACTCCATGCAAACTAATCCAAGTGTTCCATCATATTATTGTTTGCTCGTGCAATGTTTGTGTGCGATGTTTATTACACTTGTTACATTTCAACCATGTTTCATGATGTGAAGACATCTGTAGTGTGCATTTTACAAATCCACTACTGATAGGAGTCAAAGCAGAAAGTAGTACATGTTCTGTTCTTAGGAGTGACTGTGGAGGTAACTTTACTGCACAAAATAATGTCTACTACCAAACTGGGATCACTGGAGGAAGTAGCTTAGAACTTAATTTTGATTTATTTATCCACACATAGTAACAAAACAACAAAGAAAAGTGTACAGAAGGAATAAGAAAGTAGCATGATGGGGGAGGACTAGCAGAATAACAACATCTTTCTTTCCAGTATGCCTCCTTCTCGCAGATCCCTGGTGCCTTCCCCCCTCAGAGCCCATTCCCCCAGCAGGGGGGATACTCCCAACAAACCCCCCTGTCACAAGGTGGACCAATGCCTCAGCAGATGTTCCCCCCTCAGATGGGGCCCCCTCCTGTGGGCACTACCCCCCCTGCGCCGCAGGTGAGATGGTTGCTCCCACTGTGCATGGGTTTGCTCTGTTTGGTCACTTTCCCCTCGGGATCTTTCACTGGGTGTCTGTGGTTGTAGACACTTGGAATGACAGTTATCTTCACTCTACTGACTGTCCCCTCTACTCTAGAATTGTAAGGGGTGTGATCTATAACTATGATAAACATACTTTCCCTGTTGGTATATCTTCACTCCAGCAAGGTTCTTATAATTCATCCTATAAGCTTTAGATTTAGAGATCAGCAAGTCATTAGAAAAGAATAGATGTGTACTGGTAGCCTTTGAACATTATCTAAAAGTTTAGCTTAGATACCTGCATTTTATATTACTCTATTAGAACATTTGCATCATTACCACAAGTTGTGAGGTTTGAAAAGGAGAAGCTCCAGTAGAATAGTCTGTTTAGGGGAAAGGGTTAGAATGGCACTGCACGGTAGTAATCTCATATTCTGACTTCTGACCAGCACGTTGTAGGTTAGCGTCTGTGCACAGCTTGTCACATGCATCGTCTCTCATTTCTCTGCATCTCATCTCCCTCACCTCATGTACTTGTCTTGATGTCTCACCCTGGTAGAACAGTCCTGTGGCTCTTGTTGACTGCATGAGAATGTTGTGAATGAACTGCTTTTAACTCATCTATGGTTAGACATACAAGTAGAACAGTTTACGTAATACGAAATGAAACAAGCAACTAGGTAAATTCTCTAAAGAGTCAGACGTTTCAGATGACACCAAACAACAATTTACTGGCAGACATTTTGTACATCTGTTGTCTTACGTCAGTGACTGAGATTGTTCACATTTATATACAGGTTACACTCATTCTCAGTCACTGAAATACAGCAGATGCTATCTGAAAAATCTGACTCTTCAGAGATTTTATCCAGTTGCTTGATGTATTTTGTATTGCCTGCAGGCATGTAGCTTACAGTGATCTTGTCCTTGTGGGTGTTCTGGTGATTGGGTTCCCTTGGCTACTGTAAAATCGATATTAACACCCATTTTCCCCTCTTTACAATTGTGCCAAAGTATTTTTATGGACAGGGTGGTACTCAGTACGGTGTTCATCCACAGACACAGTCCCCAGCGCCCCCACCACAGCCCCCTCCCCCGCCGATGTTCGTGCCTCCCCCTCCCAAAGCACAGAGACTGCTGCACTCCGAGGCTTACATCCGCTACATAGAAGGCCTAAAGGTGGGCTGTCAAGTACTGTTATCTTTACTCTTGAATGGGTATACTAGTAGTAAGCTCATTCTTCTTAGTTTCATTTATTGGGTGCCATACTACATCAGATTTTAAAACCCTTTTCCACCAGGGGCTGCAACTACTGAGCGACCAAATATATAACATGTCTTTTTAATTGTCTACAGTCATCTTGTATCATACTGCAATCAAGAGTCACACAAATCCAAGTCTGGTGGCAGTATGATTGCCTTATATTGTTATAGTAGTAGTAATAGTAATAGTAATAGTTTATAAAGAACTGAAGACTTTTTGAAAAACAGACATGCTGGGAAGCTAAAGGATTCTATCGGTATTACAGTGTTGGTACATTGTACATGTACAGTAAATGTGGATAACTGCAGGGTTTAATTACGCATGCTCTCCCCCTCCAGGTTGAGAACAGGTCAGTGAGTAACTGGGAGGAGACCCTGACGGTGAGGCAGGAGGATGTCCAGTTGACAGAACAGCAGCGGGCGCGGCTCCCGGGACACATCCTGAAGAACGGCAAAGGTCCGCACAAGAACATGGAGTCTGCGCTGTGGGCACTGAGGGACCTCATGCTGAAGGACGCACTCACTATCCGCAAATTTCATCATTAAAAGACCTGGTATAGATTTCATTGGGAAGATAGTATCCTTCGTTTTATTAGTTTTGTATTTCAAGGTTAGGATCCTGAAGGACGCACTCACTATCCGCAAATTTCATCATTAAAGACCTGGTATAGATTTCATTGGGAAGATAGTATCCTTAGTTTTATTAGTTTTGTATTTCAAGGTTAGGATCCTTTTCTTGTCTATGTGACTAGGTTTTGTACAGTCGGATGTATGTCACTATTTTTCATAGTAGTAAGGACTAGAGTAGATCTTTGTTCACCTGATGATTTAATTTGGGAAGTGAACTCCAACCCAACTTCTAATCTGCTTTAATGAATGTTATGCACCTATTGTAAATGTACTAAATTTGTAATCACACCTGAATACATATTGTAAAGAGAAGCCTTATTTTAGGCAAACGTTTGAAGCCTGGGTTGCAGATTCATCCATAGTAATCCAGCAACCTTTACTTTGCTAGAAGTTTTGCCATCAAAGGTACTGCAAGTACATAATTCCAATTTCTCAATGATTTGCCTCGCTTGATTTTTCCAGTGACCATCTGAAACACATGGTATATTGGGACCTGTGGTAGATTTCAGTGGCACTTTCAGTATTATTTGTTTTGTATTGATGGAAAGGTTGAAATCTTGAGTAACTTTACACACAATTGAAAATGAACAACAAAAAGTACTATTCTTCACATATGTGCAAGATTGGTTGAAAATTAGATGACAGAACCAAAGTGTTTCTCAAATTTGGCAAGTCATATGTACATGTATGGACTTGGCATATGTTAGATTATTTAACTTCAACATAACCAGCTACAGGAAACATAGCCAGAGAGTAAGTAACATGATGTGTCAGTACCCAGAGTTGGAATTTGTTGTGTCTGAAATAGAAATAAACAATGGAAGCCCCTTGGATTGCTGTCATTGTTTCCTTACTGCAATCTAGATTGCTTTGCTGTATTGGTAAGTTTACAATCATTTTGATAAGCACGTATTTCATTCAACCTTGATTCTCCTTGCCATATGACACAATACTTCACAAGTTCTGATATACCTGTCATAAGGGATGCAGTTTTACCCTACCAAATATTACACGCAATGTCATATATGTATGTAGCTATCACCTTAAATTCACTGGTTACTAGTAGTTTTGTGACTGATACCAGGCATTCCCCCGACCACGCCTCCCCCTGCCTGCACCCCTTCCTCTGTACCCTCTCCCCCTCTGTCCCCGCCCCCTGCCTCGTGCTCTGTTGGTGTCAGTCTGCCGGTCATCGACAGCTTCAGTCCCTGTACATCAAGCAAATGTAGAATCTCTGTCAAATGTGATAGTGCACATTGATGAGAACATATGAGATACTGAGCAATCATATTTCAGGAAATATACGTCTGGGTGTACCTGTTCTAGCATTGGTGCATTTTTCTGAAACATTGCTTGAATATATCACACAACATGTACTACATCTTCTACAAGAAAGTAAAGTTGATAAACACACAAAGGTACAAAATAATTCAATTCTTTCCTAAAATTTTCTGTGAAACACGACCACCTAACCGTACATTTCTGTTCCAGCTTATTCTCCCTGATCCGCTCGATCCACTTCCTCCAGTCGTCACTTCCCTTCTCCAGGGTCTCCCCGTTCCCGACCACGATCAGGCCCCGCCTGGCTCTGGTCAGCAACACGTTCATCCGCCGGGGATCGTTCAGGAAGCCTGGAAAGAAATCAGTTAACGTCATTTGAATTTTTAAAAGGGACAGATTGATGCAACAAGGTATACTTAGCCTGGATGCCAGACCCATAGCAAGCTAGGCCCAGGGTCTAACTGAGGGGGATTGTGGTGTATTTCCTTGGAGGTATGTTGGCCCTGGAGCCTAGGAACTGGTCTGTGCAGGCCCTGGAAACATGCAGTCTGGCATTTAGGCTAAGGTATACGTTGTTTTTGCTTATAGTACCATTTTCTCCCTGTCTTCAAAATCTCAAAACTGCAGTAAATTTTCATCACACACTTACCAACGTACCCTCCCTCATTGGCCCGAACTGCGGAGAAAATGATGACGTCACGTTCCTGTCCCTGGAATCCATCCACTGACCGCACGGCGATGTTTCTGTCCAGGCCGCGCTTGATTTCTTCGATCTGTGCGTGCGAGGAAGCCGAACAAGCGTGATGAACAGGGCGCCTTTGACACTAACAGTATTAGTGTATCTTCTAGACGAATGACTGCAGCATCTAGATTTGTTAAGCAGATGATAGACTCTATTTTGCTATTTCAGCAAAACTCCGTTTTGCTATTTCAGCAAAATTCCAACCTCAGAAGTTTTGCATGCAAAGTAGATAATAGTTTGTAGGTACATGTATCACTGATAGGCATACTACTCACTAGTAGTTGGAAACAAACCTGCGCCTTGTAGGGTGACACGATCCCAATGTCATCCTCTACGATGTCACCTCCCTCGAGCAGTCGTTTTGTTACTTCAATGACGATCTTGACCTCTTCGACATTAAATTTGGAGGTCCCGCGGGATGACTCACCAGGCAAACGTTGACAGACGTTGATGAACGAAACCGGCAGATTTCGGTTAGGCCATCTGAACCCTGGGGGCGGTATTCTGTCGGATGCCTCTACGCCATCTTTGATTTGACCTTGGTAGAAATGTTGTGATGGGAAGGTCGAAATTGCCGGGTGCATTCTGTACTGCGTGTCTAGAAGATGAACCCGAAACTTCTGTCCTCTCCATCTGAAAACAAAACAACGTTCAATGATTCCTTTCCTCGCCCCGGCCAGGTGGTTTAAGCCCCATAAAGAGTACAGATCTGGTACAAAAAGAAACAAAAAACATACAGATTGACCAGCAGTAAAGTGTTTTTCAACACATTGATAAGAACAAGCCCTATGAATGTGCAATTCAACATTAAAAGATGAACGACAAACATACAATGACCACTTATAATCTTATAACAAATGGTCATTATTTTATCGTCCATAGAACTAACTAAAAGTCAATTGTAGCCAAGAAAAAAAAGCATGGTGTTGTGACTGTTGTCTGGGCAAAATACGAAAATATTGACCTTTCGAAGAGGGATATTTTCAGCTCCTGCGCCTCCTCGCTCTGCACGAGCGGCGGTAGTTGCTGGTCGTCACCGATGAGACAGACCCTCTCCGCCCCGTGAGACAGGGCGCACAGCACCGCCGGCTCCGTGGCCTGGGCCGCCTCGTCAACCAGCACGCGGCTGAGGCTCAGCTGCTGCAGGACCTGGCTTCCCGCCCCGATACATGTCGTGCAGATGATCTGTAGATGATAAAAGTTTGATAAAATTGAACTACACTCACTGCAAACTTTCTGCAAAAACGCAATTTGTTAGCTACTTTTCGAAATCAAGCATTTATCCAGGACACATCATTCTCTGCATTTTAGGCTTTGAATCAACAATATCGGGGAATTCGATCAGACGTTATGAGTGTTTAAAGAAGATGCTCGAAACTTTTGTGCAGGGATAATAACAGATGTCATTATCACTTACCTTTGCCTTGGAAAAGATGGATTTTACCCCCTGTGGTTTCTTTCTCCCGCCCCTGGTTTCCTCCGAGCCGAACTTTTCCTCGTACCGTTTGTCGAGCGTGAGGTGTCTGAGTCCGTACCTCACCTTCTCCAGTTGACCAACGCGCAGGATCTGGTCTGGTGGGACATTTCTGGGAGGAAAAATAGAAACGCCCACATTCGTATGTTGTGGTAGCACATTATAAGTTTCGTATCAACTTGCCTTGCCTTCCATTGCGTTGCCTTGCCTAATCGGGAAATAATGTAAGGATAGAAGGTTGAATCCCTGGCATATCCTCAGTAAAGGATAGAAAAAGGAACTACCAATGCTTATCCAAGACATACAAGTAACTCTTTGTCCAAAAGTAGTATGCTGAGGCAAATATGATGTGACTTGTCAGGAATGATCAAAACCTTAATAGCAACCATCTTGAGTATCCTACCTGTCTAGAAGTTTCTGGATGATGTTGTCAACTCCCTCGTTTGTCTCTGCCACAGCCAGAATCTTGTCGTCACTCTGCCCCTGCCACCGGACGATGACTTCTGCGGCGGCCTTGGTCTTCCCTGTACCCGGCGGGCCTTGGATCAGCGTCATCTCAGTCGAGGCCGCTGATTGGACGGCTTCCTCCTGGCTTCTGTTCAGCAGGCTCTTCGTAGCCGGTCGCTTCTTCGGCCGCACGTCTTTAGGGGCATCAGAGACAGTCGTGCCTGATGCTGCTTCTGTCAGTTGGTGCTCCTGGGGAGCATCGGTAAGGAGATCTCCATCATCTACTGGATGAGCACGGGGTGCTTCTGTTGTTCCTGCTGTTGCCTTGGGTAGTGTTTCCGCTTCACTTCGGGTGTCGTCGGCTCCCAGTCGGTCTTCGTCGGTGTCCAGCTGCTCAAAGTTGGAAGTCAACACGTCAACGCTGCCTCCGAAAGACGAGATGATGCGCTCACAGATCAGGTTACTGGGGGTGTCCGAGTCGGTTTTCACACAGAGGCAGTCGAGCGCCGCCATGACCCGCTGGTGGGAAATGCGGTTGCCGATGTGGATGGCGGTGAACTGTCCGGGAATGATGCACTGTGTCCCGTCACTGCTCCACAGAACGTTCAGATCAACTTCTACCGAATACGGAATAGAAGAAGACAGAAGTATAGACAACATTACAATAGAATAGACATCTGAAATAACCTCAAGCTCACTGCAAAGAACTGTGATACCTTATACATTGGCGATGTACTTGAACACTACACAAACCTGTCCTGTCGATGCTGACTTCGGTCACTATAACAGAGGGTGAAGACTGAGACGTTATCTGCAGCTGGTCGCCTACAGACAGTTGCAGCTCGTTCTTCTCCCAGTCCGCGATGATGTACCGACCATCATCCTCCTCCACGAGAATAACCGACGTCTTGTCTGCTCTGGCGCGAAGAGCCCGGCTGCGGCAGCTGCAGACCTCCTCCCGGACCTCCATGGTGCACAGCGCTGTCCAGTGTAGGTAGTAATCCATCCGGCCGGGGACAAAGTCAGCTGGGTTGATGGGAACTACCCCTATTAAGCACCGACAAGGGACAACATAAGAGTATGTAAAAATCTATGAACATGACAGAAAATATCTATTTCTTATGAATGAGGAAACAAATGGCTACGTCATGAGTAACTCTTGTACTAACTCTAGTAACTCTTCACAAGCACCGATTCACTCAAGTATATTGCATATGCGCAGTTCTAAATGGTAATTGTCAGAATATCGCTTCTGTTGTTTTGAGCTACAAAGCTTTGTTCCACATACCGCCTCTGATCATGTCCAGCAGGCTGTTCGCGCAGTCCACGCCTGCGTGCTGAAGGTGTAGGAACAGTTGTCGTAACCTCTCCAGCCCAAAGACGACGCCATCTCTTTGAAGAGTGCTGCAGAACCTGTGGAAGAAAACGCCTGTTCTTAAGATGCGCTTGAGAAATAATCTTCTATATGAAGATAAAAAATAATATCCAGTCAAATATTGAAAAAAAACTGAATTCACCTGCGAATTCTCATGAGTGTGGCCTCTGAGTCAGTGTAGGCTCCCGGCTGCACGCACATGTATGACGTCATGAACACGATGTTCATGAGCAGGTGGAAGTATTTCTCCTCGATTTCAGGCCGGAGGTGGACCTGATCGCGATACTTCCACAGCAATGATTCAATCTTCAGGGCAGCCTGCAATATGAAGTTTAGCCGATATCAGTTTGGAATATGCACTAGAAGTACATGTACTAGTAAAATGGGACCAAAAATCAACAAGATTATCACAATTGTTTTCTTCTCACACTAAATACAAAATTGCTAGATCTGTAGGTAAGACGTACCTCGGGTAGATGTCCGTAGAGCTCAATGACGTTGTTGAGGGAGTCACGTGTCAGCGTCCCGGCTTCTCCGCCCTCACAAATGGCTTCACACATGGACTCAAACCTGCGCAGTCGTTCTGCCTCCTCAGAGAGCACTTCTTCTGGTTCCACCCCCAGCTCGGGAAACTCTCGGCGACTCCCTACATCGCCAGTGAACGCTGTGCTGCCTTCCAGGTTCGTGTCTGGTGTCTCTTGTGATGGCTGTTCGGACAAGGCTTCCCTCTGTCGCCGCTCGGTGTAGACGCTCGGACCGCTCTGCATGCGTGTAACCTGATAGAACACTTCAACCGCCTGGACTTCTTCCTTCTGTAGCTTGACCGAACGGTCCCTGCGTTCCCCCGGAAATCTGTCCAGTGCGACGCTCATCCTGACGGCTCCGTCGCTCCACCGCAGCCACACGAACGTCATCGGGCGCCTGACGTTGTAGATCTGCAGGTGCTCCGAGTCCAACTCCAACAGGTAGTCGTCCTTCATGTGGCCATCCTGTAGGTCCACCATCTCCATCCCGCCGCCGGAGTGATCCGAGAAGAAGACGACCGTGGGACGACCCGAGCTCTCGTCTGTAGTGATGACGTCTTCCATCACAAGCGGCCCGGGAAGACACAGCCCCATCACCAGGACTGTGCCCGCAAGGTGGAACTCGAAGATAAGCAGTTTCGGAGTCTCCGACGTCAAGACACTTCTGACGGTTGGCCACGAGATGTCTTCGTCAAACTGCTGGTAGAAGAGTGACCACTGATTTGGTGACATTACGTCCATCCTCCCTATGTCGCTCTCCGTAAGGATCTTTGATTTGTAGAAGGCATTGGTGATGTACTTCATAGGCAGTTCAGGGCAATCGACTGCCACCCTGGCCTTCTGACTTGGCGTGAAGCGCGTGAAATCTATCTGCCCCACATAACTCTGGAGGTCCTGAAGACGACCGTTGCTCTCACACCATTTGTACAGGAAACGGAAGAGCTGATACTCGCTGACGTTGATGTCCTTATTGTTCAGAAGGTCTGTGATGTCGGGTTCCTCAAAGACTCTGACCGCCAGGTCGCTGTCTACAGCTACACTGTCGGCAAGGTAAAGATCTGCGCGTTTCAGCATCTTCTGCCACACGTATCTTGTCTCTTGTGCTTCTGGCGGCTAGAGAAAAAAGATGTTAACGTGCGTTACTAATGCAAGGTAGAGGAAACAGTAGCCTAGTCATTGTACGGTCACAATAGGAATTCGAGCATTGTGCCAGGGCATGCATGTAAAACTATGCATACCATTGCAAAGTTAGGCTCGTACAGTGCGTACCTTTCCCAAACGACGTGGAACAACAACGCCTTTCCCCGTCTTTGCGGTGTCGACCGCTGTGGCGAACAGCTTGGCGATGTTGCGACACTGAGATGACGTCACGCCTCTGACGTCAGCCCACCTGTTGAAGAGCTCGTTGAGTCGGCTGACCGTGCGGCTGTTGTAGGTCGCAAACACGGAGATGAGGTCGTCATTGGTGACAAGGTCTTTCTTTGCAGACTCCCCACCTGGAAAATCAAAACGTTTCATGCAATTTTTCTGACAATCTTCCCAAACTATGCGTGCACAAAATGAGACATACTGTCTGAAAGGTCTACTTGCAGGATGATCACAATACAGTTAATCTTTTGAGAAACTGAAAAATAGGCAGACAATAACGTACATGTACATGCTAACTTTACCATTAGAATAATGCATGTAATAGTTAAAAAGAAACCCACTTAGCATAAACGTAGACGGCGGCTGAGTGTGCTAGTAAGGTATTGTACCGAAGAGTTACCTGGGTAGGACAGCGGCTCCTGTTCTTCCTCCGGGACCAGGTCCGGATCCCAACACACGAAGTACTTATCTCCATCAAGGTCACTTCCGGCTATCTCATCTGCGTGGGGCCGATCACCTTTCAGAACCAATAGGCAAAATTCCATGTTAGGAATACACCGTATACACCACTTAAGCATAGACCGACCCAGGATGAACTACAATCAACGGAGACCTACAAACAGTAAACTGGAACTGGAAGGATGTAGATAGACTTGCCGTTGACTGGAAAGTCTGACTGCCTCATGTTAGCTCGGAAGACACGGGAGCCCCTAAGTCTGCGTAAGCAATTCACCACTTGGTTTCACATGATGACAACTTCACATGCTTTTCTATAGGTTAGAAATAACGTTGAAAAGTTTTGATTTGCACGTTTACCTTGTACAGGAAACACTATGCAGTCGACAAGATGGCGGCAGTCCTCCACATTGACACACTGCAACACGCGGAAGTCACCGGGATGGTAACACGGGCACTTCACCACGGCTACCTTTGTGTCAGTAAACACCTGTCACACGGCAGAAGAGAAAAGACACTTTTGAAATGGTGTTCTGATGAAACTTCAAACGTTTGGTTTGCAGCTATAGCTATTGCGCATAATTCCCTTAAGGTACTGGGCAAAAAAAATGTGAAAAATAATAGGGAATTCTAAGCTGAAAAACTAAATGCTTCATACGTTTCATGTTGTACATATCATTATAGTTGTTCTTACCTGCGTTTTCCCTCGCACAGTGGCTTGGAAGAAGCACTGCCCAGGCTGGAGCTTTCCTGAAGGATCACAGACCCCGAACACGTTCCTGGACTTTTCTATAGGTATTTTCAGGGCTCTTGCAGGCTCGGGTTTCGTGTTGAGGAGTTTGTGGACTTTGTTGGCTTTCGGGGGACGTCGCACTCTACTCCGGAACCCCCGGAGGATCTCTATGGTCTCGTTGTCGGGGCCGTCCTCTCGCGAGAACAGGCGTTCGGCGAGACCAATGTATCCCCGGGCGCAGAGGTGGCGGAACGCAACTTCTTTGTCGATCTCCAAGCGGTCGAGTTCACGGAAATACGTCTCTTGCTTTGACAGGAACACCTCGTCTGGGATGCCGAGCGCGGACAGCATCATGATGTACTGCTTGTTGAGCTGGCCGAACGCGTAGGGCTGCGAGATGCCGTCGTCGCACACGCCGAACACGTGCGGAGGCGCCAGCTTCCAGGTGAACTTCTCCTGCGAGGGCCGGATGCTCACGCCGTTGGGAAGAGACGGGTCGATCATGACGATCCCCTTACATCCCTTCATGCGGAACTGAATGACGGACGGGACCGGCGGATCCTGGTGTCGGTAACGGTCGGTGATGTCTTTGACGTCCATGATTTTCCGTGCGCAGGCGACAGATATGAACCCGCAGCCGTCCGTAAACGTGAACCCATTGCGCTCGATGTCCTTGGTGTGATCTATCTCCTTCTCGTCGAGCTCCAGGCACTTTGTCGCCGTCGAGAGTAACAGACCGATCCGTGCTGCTCGCTTGGAAGGATTCTTGATGGCTTCAAACGCGCCGAATCTGTTGATCAACTCCTCCTTGTGACCAAGGGCTTCGCTATCGTACAGGATGCACGTTCTCTCCCGGAGCTGACTCGCGCTGTGACCGAAGAACACGTAACGACGTCCCCGCTGACGTCCAGCCGTCACGCTAAACCCTGACTTCAAGACCGCCTCCACCACCTGTGGCGGCGTACTCAGGTCAAAGTGGAGGACGACGAAGTAACGGACGTCGTGTTGTCTGAACAGTGAGCACATCTTAGCATCGCTGTAGTCCGTCTCCACGTAAAAATCGTCTGTTGTCAACTCCTTCGATTTGACGCCTTCTCTTTCCCTCTTCCGTCGTATGTAGACGACTTTAATGTTAGCTTTCTGGAGTTCCTCCTGTGGTCTTGGTGACCATTCTTTCTTATAGACCAGTTCTCTCTGCTCTGCACCTCCTTCTGTGTCAGGATGCTTCAGAAAGCCCGTCAGAGTACGCGAATCTGTCGACGCCATTGTTGACGAATCACTGGGTCACTGTTGCCAGAGATAGATAAGTGTCTACTATTAGAAAGACTTAATATATTACTGCGTGAATGATAAATGTTCACCACATACTTGAACAGACACCTGTTTAGCGATATCAAAAACATATAAACAGTACTCATGCAGTTATGATTAGTCTGTGTCTGCCGTCTGTTTTCATTCAGCCAAATGAATATATCAAATCAACTTCATACAAGTGAACGTAAGCAAAAGTCATCACGCAAAGGCTGACGGGAGAGATAGGTTTTGGACAGGTGAAAGGGTAGGCGGAAATGCCTTATGGCCACTAGCACTGGGACTCGGCAATACAGCAGACCCATTTGCTAGGTCTACCTTCCAATTACCTATCTACCATGTAACCTCCATTTGATGTATAGACTTGACCGACTGTGTGACCGATTCAGGCACACCTACATGCAGTACTATACACAATACAGCTTCAGATATAACGTTACGTATATATATACATTTTTGCCCTTTTACAGTATATTGTATTTTAGATTCGTATGGTGTGCACTGATTAAAAGAACCCATGTTACAGGTATTCTATACATGTTGTAACATGTTGAAAGTAAGACAATAAATAAGGTTGTAGGCACACTACTGTGAATACCTCTCACTATAGCTAGCAATGTCCCGTCACACTTGAATGAATACATCAACATGCAGCATTATAAACCTACTCTACATGTCTGGACATGCACCAGGCAAACTTCGGAGTTACAATGACAGCACTGAGAAGTCGACAGAGTTTAGTTAGACTGTTGTAAGCTTCGTACACTTACCGCATATAGGAAACGTCATACACTTTATCAGTTACACCAGTTTTGAACACGCGATTCTGTCGGCGCCACACGACAGTACCTATGGACACAATGCCTGGTGGAACAACACAAAAGACCACTTCGAAACTACGTACGATGCATACAGAGCGTATGACTAAGAAGTGAACATTTGACATCCTTGTGGTATGGCAATGGGCCAAGTTTCGGTGTGAGTCATGATCAGGAGTGGTTGGTTTCGGTGCGTCTACAAAACTCAAGCCAAGTTTCGGTGTGTACGTGACTTGGGTATGTCCACACCCTTTGTTATTTCACCAGGAGAATACTAATAGTGATTTAATTACGTTAGTACCTGCTAGTTGCGATAAGGGCACCAAAGGTAGGCGACAGTAATGTTTCCATAATTGACTTGGCAGTGCCTGGCATTTAATAGCCATCGCCATTTGGCTTATACAATCCACCTGCAATGTGGCTCCATATTAGAAATATTGGAAAACCTTGAGAGGGAAGACCCCATAGGTTTCCAATTTTTCCGTTGATTATAGCTCACGTCGGTCATTCTCCCACGGCAGAGCTATCCCGCGGCAAATACGCCTTGTACTCCTTACTGGTAAGGAAGCACCCCTGGCGTGGGAGGATGACGTCGGTACGTTTTACTTTTTCCTTTACATTTTACCTACAGATAACAAGTAGCACAGAGAGCAGCTGCGAGATCTTTTTTGTATAATTATACAGCTACAGGGCAAGTCTAGCCTTACAATTAGGGCTTGCTCTACCAGTAATCGGGCCGGGGTCAAAGTTGAAGCGAGCCGATCAACCTTCAGACTATGTACTATATTTTCAGGTGTGTTTTTGTTCAACTTTCCCCATACAGAGATATTCAAACCGTTGATAAACAAACAAAAAATGAAGCCTTCGCAAGACCTTCTGAGAGTGTTTCTGTGCGGCGCCCAGAGCACCGGTAAGACCACGCTTCTGAACGACCTGACAACTGAGGTTCCGAAAATCCACGGAGAACCCGAGGTGGCCCGGCGGGTGATACAAGGCCTGGGGCTGACACGGGAGGACTTCGACTACAAGAAAAACCCTAAAGGGTTTGAAGATCTCCAGGTATGGGAGGGTTATTCTTGGTCACTATCGTGAGCTTACGTGATAGAGTTTTGTCAATGATGATATCAAGTAATGCTATCTTCTTTCATGTATTATTTATGGTAAGGCCATGTTGATTTGATTATATGGATTCCGGGAGCCCCAAAACTGATGCGCGCGTGCGAATAAAAAACAAGAGTTCCACGATCTCATACCTTCGCCAAAAAATGTTAACCCTTGCGGGTGACGAAGTCTACAATTTTAATCATTGATTTTGTAAATAAGAGCCTCATTTGCATGGATTATATCAGTTGATCATATTCTCCATCCAATCATAGCCTTATCATAACAAGCCTTATCATAACAAAAAGGCTATTATAGCACTTCCTCATAAATTATGCAAATGAGATCATGATTTGAATAAATTATGTTTATTGATGTTCACCTTCACTTAACTTCCAAATGTGGCAAGTATGAAATTCGGGGTGCAGCAGTTACAACTATGGAATTATAAGAATTTGCCATTAATTATTCAAATTAGGTCCTCATTTACATAATCTATATCCTCAGATGTTTTTCTCGTTCTCAAGTAGATGTCACAACTGTTTCATAGTTCTATTATCGAACAAATCAGATTTATAGAATTTCCTCATTAATTATGCAAATTAGCTCTTGATTTGCATAATTGAATGAATGAATGACTGGTTTATTAGGTAAAACATTGCAGCCCGTCAGGCTGAAATACGTTCTACTTACATAGTACATCAAAGTACGTTTCATGACTTACATAGGACACAACTCAATATGACGAATAGCATAAAATATTACATAGTATTAAAATGTCGATTAAAATAAAATATTACAATAACAAAACATCTGAGTGTGGTTGGTTTACAACGTATTATTTGTTCGTGTTAAGCAGACTCAGTAGAGACGGTACAGGGCGTGTTTTGAAATCTAGAAGTGCGGCAAGGCGCCAGTGTCATTTTGTCAGAGTTTCTAAGGTTCCTGCCATGCTCCTGTCGCCGTGTGTTGGGGAGGAGATCAGCTGTGCGCTCCGATGTTGTCATGCTGTGTGCAAACTTGGTGCAGAGGACCGCCCGTCTCTTCTCGAGTGTTTCAAGTTTGCACATCTTCAGCCCCGTGGTGTAGTCTGTATACTTCTGACCCAAGATAATCCGGCATGCACGTTTCTGTACTCGTTCCAGTGTTGCAGTTTGTTTGCGGGTAAGTCCGTGATGCCACACTGGCGCGCAGTACTCAAGGATCGGTCTTATGAAGCCACAGTACACTGTTACAAGGTCCTCCACTGGGACTCCAAATGACTTAAGTCTGCGTAACATGAACAGTCGCTTGTTGCCCTTCTTTGTTGTTTCACTCACTTACAGTATTGTCAGTGAGAATGCTTTTCAGCAGGCCAGGCAGCTTTTCCGTCTCAGTATAAGACAGACAGTAAATGTCTACTACTGACGTGCTAGTTTGTTTCTCATTCGTCTCGCCTGATTTGCGTACCCTCTCGCTTTTCGATTATGACCCAGTGCAGCCCAGGCCGAGGACAGGTTATTGAGTGAAGAAGCGATGCTAAGATTTTCTGCACGAGCACCGTACACGTTTCTCTGCATCTGCAGAGCTCTTCTCAAAGCAATCAATGGC